ATCAGCTGCATCATGGAAGCGAATTTACATATCATTATATTGATCGGCTTTCCGATGTATTGCCGCTATCTGTGGAGCTTGGTGCATCCAATTCGCCCCATCGCTTGAGCAGAAAACAACACCGAGTTCCGGGTCCCGCCTTTGAACCATTCGAAAGACAGGGTGCGGCTTCGCATTTATCCGGCATGTTTCGGTAGAGCCAATTCTTCAACATGGTCAAATGGTCAATCATCATTTAATATATCTACATGTCCCAGATGTTTCAGTTGAAACCCTTCCAATATATTCCAGGCAATTGCTCCACCTCTTCTTCATGTTTGTGAGCGTGGGGTGTTTTATATGTTGCCCGTTAAATGGAATGGACATATGGACTCAAGAATGCCCCCCCCCATCCATCCATTCCGCACCATGAAATGAATCCATGGCTGAACCCATTGTTCGTCAGTGTTTACAGGGGAATCGAATGCTTCCAGGGTTTCTTAGGTCACGCAGCATTTCGTTCATCCACAGCAGGAACCCTGCATGAATCAGCCCCTGGTTGACTTAAAGGGGGTGTCCCTTGGGGTCTCTTTCGACATTTCAGAGGTTCCCAGTTGCCCAGTGGCGCCCCTTTTTCAACTTTTTTGTGGGAAGGGTTCCCCTTTAAACTCAACCAATCCACTGGGCATTGGCGGTTCATCAAGTAGATGCGATTTCTGGATTTCGTTGTTGGCTTCCAAAAAAAAACAAACTCCTTGAGGAGTTGGACGCGTTTCGCTGGGCCACCGCGCTGGAGCCATCTGACTGCGCCAAAGATGGGCCCTGCCCCTGGGATCCCGTGCAATGGACGCTGGAAGGCGGCGAATGGCGGAACTGGAACCGGGGGAACTCTCCCCGGGGGAACCCGCCTTTGGGTGGAGAAGGTTACTGTAAATACTGTGGATGGACGAAATCCTGCACCACCTTAGAGACCCTGGAAGGATGATTCCCCTGTAAATTCCAAACAAACAATGGTTTCCCATGGTTTCCAAGTGGTGCAGGATTTTGTCCATCCACACACACTCATGACAGATTGTACTTTGGCCCATGTTGCTTGGCTGTTAGGACTTTAACTTTTGCCAACTAATGGGTTTTCCGTAATAAACCACTAAAAGTTAAAGTTTTAGCAGGGGAGCAGAAAGGAACCGAGTGTATATGTACATATACATAAACTTTAGAGCCTCCGGCTCAGTCCGCCGACATTGTCCTCTCCCTTTTCTCCTGCTTCCTCTCTCTTTTCTCCTCCCCCGTGTGTTCCCTCGTCCTCTCTCCCTTTCTGTCTCTCTCCTCCCATTCCTCCCCATCCTCCCAATCCTCTCTCTCTCTCTCACCCTCTCTCTCTCTCTCTCACTCTCTCTCTCTCTCCTTCTCTCTCTCTCTCTCTCTGTCTCTCTCTCTCTCTCTCTGCCTCTCTGTCTCTTTCTGTCTCACTCTCTCCTTCCTCTCTCCTTCCTCTCTATGCCTGTCTCCCTCTCTCTCTCTTTCTCTCTCTCGCTCTCTCTCTCTCCCTCCTCTCCATGTCTCTATCTTTCTCTACCTCCTCGCTATGCCTCATTCTCCACACCTCGTGTCTCTGCCCCCCCCGCCCCCCGGTCGCTGCCTCTCTCTCTTTCCTCTCTCTCTCTCTTCTGTGTGTCTCTCTCTCTCTCTCTCTCTCTCTCTCTCTCTCTCTCTCTCTTTCTTTCTCTTTTTCTCTCTCTGTCTCTCTCTCTCTCTGTCTCTCTTTCTGTCTCTCTCTCTCTCTTTCTCTCTCCTTTTTTTCTGTCTCCTGCTCTGTGTCTTTCTCGATCTCGGTCTCTTTCTCTGACTTTTTCTTTGTCTCTGTCTCTCCCTCTGTCTCGGTCTCTGTCTCTGTCTCTCTCTCTCTCTCTCTCGCTCTCTCGCTCTCTCTCTCTCTCTCTCTCTGTCTCGCTCTCTCTCTGTTTGCATTCCTGAGTTTCCTCGATTTCCGTGCACTGCCTCTTCATGACCCCTGAATTGTCTTCGTACTACTGGCTTTCCCCTTGATTTCCCCTTCATGTCCTTTTCATGTCTCGTCATTTTTTCGAGGATGTCCTCATCATGTCTCCTTCCATTCCTTTCACTTCTCCTTCATGTCCCCTGTCATTTTCTCGTATGTCCGCTTCGTTTTCAATGAATGTCCCTTTCTTTCATTGCCAGTCATTTCCCTACATCTCCCTTCGTGTCCTTTGGTTTCCTTGTCCTTTGTTTGCCTTGCAGTGTCCCTTTCAGTTCCCCTTCGTTTCCCTTTCATTTTCCCCTTGCTTTCCTGACATGTCAACTTCTTGTCCCATGCATGTCCTTGCATTTCCCTTAATTTCCTCCCCTCATTTCCCTGCACTTCCTTGCATTTTCCCTTCGCTCCCCGGTAGTTTTCCGGGGAGAAAAAAAGTGTTTCCCATGTTTTCGCAAAAAGGATGTCAAAAACACAGAGTTTTCCCAGATTTTCGGCAAAAGGAGGCAGAAAACCCGAACCAGTAAGAGCCGGCAGGGGGATTGGAGCCTGGGACCCCTGTTTTGCGACACCGGTTCCCAAAGACTATTTTTAGTGGAACATCATCAGATTACCGCGCGGTACGTTCGGGTCCTCTCTTAAGTGTCCGACACACCTCCGCAATGCCGGCGGATACAGATATACATATATATATATACATGTTTTCCTGTAGTGTATATATACACATATTCAGATATATATATATATATATTATTTATATACGTACATACACATGAGGTATATGTGTATACCGTGTGTATACTTTTGTATACGCATCCAAGTATCTCTCCGGGTCCCAATTGGGTCACCGTTTGTGGGTAAAAGAAATACGCTAATGAAGCCTCAAGTCCTGCGTTTGCGGTTGACCCTTGCCCAAGACTCTTCCTCCGAGAAATATGTGGCACCTGGAAGGCAACTGGATCTTCAGGTCCCAACGCGTTCCTTGCCTTTAGGCGCTACACCTCGGCAAATAACCACTGCAGGTTAGCTTCCTTTTGAAGGGAGCCCCTCTTAGGTGATATATCAATGGGTGGGAAAGTGCCAGCAAAGCCCCAAAGCATGCCCACTGATTGTCACGACCTGAGTCCTACTCCTTTTTTTTGCAGCGGGCAACCAGTTGCATGGTGTGTTTGCTTGTTTGCCTTGTTGCCTCACGATCGCCACCCTTTGTTGGAGCCGTCAGCTGGCGCGTTTTTGTTTTTCTTCTTCTTTTGGGGCTGTGTTTGGTTCAGTTGCCATCCCGCGCCTGCACCGACGTTGTGCTGAGTATGCAGCTGCCGTACCACCAATTTGTCACACATCCTGTTTGGCACAGATGATATTGCTTTTGGCTCACGTATCCGAAGCTTGGATTGCAACAACACAATTTGTGACGGACCACCATACTTCCTATTGGCATTTGTACAGTGCCACTTCTCTGCAGCCTTCAAGCGTGCTGGACCACTTGCTGGGCGCTAGATTTTCATCCGTGCATGTTTGATTTTCCCAAGGGGCAACCAACCGGGGATGGGGCAGGGTTTAGCTTCTCTAGGGCAACCAAACGGGGATGGGGCAGGTTTTGGTTGTCTAGACCCCCTTTTCCACACGCAGCTCGCAGCTTGACCGTTTCCCCCTGCCAGGGTCCTTGGACCGAGTCAACTGGGTGACATTGCACGCGCAGAACGCAGATTTCCACACGCCCATCTACCGCAAGTCCTTTGTAGAGCTGCAACGATTGCACCACAAGGCCGACGAGAAATGCGCGGCAAAGCTGGCTGTGTTTCGTCCACTAAAAACTTGGCATCCATTTTGTGATGCTCCGCTTTAAGGTTTACCAAATATGGCCAGAATCAAATATGTTTGGGAGGTTGCGGGCAAAAGCTCAGGTGGGTTGCCTTGAAAAACAGACAATGTCCTATGATGGGTTGCGCGTAGAAGTGTCGTTCGAGCACCAGTGGATTGGAACTTAGCTTGAATCGGGATAGAGGCCGAGGGGCGGTAGGTTCAGGACGAAATGCAGCTTTTCCTCATAGCATCAAATTTCAACTTGAGGTGTTTTTTTTTAATGGGCTAGGCAAGAGCTGATCGGCCGAAACAAAGTGGGATCCCATCTGTGTGTGTGTGTGTGTGTGTGCGTGTGCGTGGTGTGTGGTGTCAAAACCGCGGAAAGCAGAGGAATCCCTCCAACATGAAAACCTTTGAGAGGGTACCCCCAAGAAACCGCTGAAGTCACAGCTCGCGTTGGTTCCGCAGGTTTTGCTGAACATCTCGGAGGTGTGGCCTGATGGGCGAGGCAGGTGTGCCGCTCGCCGCTGAGACTCTGAGACGCCCGGAGCAGGGAGCAGAGTTCTGGACGACGCAGATGACGCGCCTCAGAGGTGTTCTTCTGGCTCCAGGTCAGCCAACCGCCACCACCACGACGGCGGTGCCAGCGACTGGCCAGGTTGAATTGGAGTGGATGGCGGCTGCTGCGCTGTTTGTTGTGGCGTATGTGGAATCTCGACTGGACAGAAATTCCCTGAAGAGGATGCGACGTGGCCTCGTGACCGATCAGAGGTGAATATTTGGAAGAAGTTCTTCCCACTAAGCTTGGGGCGCCATGAACGAGTCTGGGAGATTTTTCTGGCTGGTGTGCCTTGGTGTTCCTAGAAGCTGCGCGACATGCGGCAAGAACTCGCGGATCGTCGGACCACTGCACCGGTTGCTCGGGGAGGAGAGCTCAAGCTGTCTGGCAAGGAGCGGTGGCGAGGAAAATGGGCGGTGTGGGAACGGGCTGCAGGCCTGCGCTTGACGTGAGCCTTCGCCATAATTGTGGATGGTTGCAGAAATCCAAGTCGCACCACCTCAGAGACCCTGGAATTTCGGAGGATTCCCCTGCAAATACCCACAACCACTGGTTTCAACCATGGTTTCCAAGTGGTGCGAAGTGGATTTTAGAAGAGTTCCAGCGCCGTCTCGATTTATGCAGCGGCTCTTGCCAGCTTTGACCCTCTTTGCTCCTTTGGCTCAGGTGCTGTTGCCGGGGTTTCTGGCGTTCCTGCTGTTGCTGATTGAGGCAGGCCAGAAAAATCGATTCCTCTAGTGCAAGCAACCCAAAGCGAGGGTTCTGCCCTGAAGGAGATTCATCTACAAATGATAGTTTTGAGGGTTCGGTTCTGCCCTGAAGGAGATTCATCTAGAAATGATAGTTTTGAGTTGATTCCATGTTATATTCTGTAGCAGTAGATGCTTGTGGCTGGCAACGTGTTCCACGATGCCCATTTGGTTACATCCACCTGTCAGAGGTGTCACAAATCTGTGGATGTGAATTCCTATCAGAACAAAGGCACGTAGATGTAGCGATTCCCAGTGATAGGAGCCATTGGGGACTGGCTTGAGGCTCGCGGTCAATTTGACCAGCTTGCCATCAATGAAACTTACCCTCCCACCAACTAACATGGAAGTGCAAAAAGGCCCTTTCCCAGAGGGAAGTCGTCTTTGTACAGGGGTCTGTGCACAAACCCATGTAGGGTAGTGGTTTCCTTTCAGCTTCCTTCAGCCAACCGAATCAACCACCTAAACGAAGGGCGTTTTTTTTTCTCCACGCGTGCTCGGTCAGAAGCAGGCTTTGCTTGGCTGCCCCATTTTTGAAGCAGTCGCTTGGCTGATGGCCATTCGCTCGGCTTGCCATGAGCCCTGAGCATTTGAAAGGGTCACGACCACTTCAACAATAAGAAGTTGAGACCTCTGCAACAAGGTGTTTTCCCGCTGTGCCCGATTAAACGTGGGGGCCCGAAATTCATTTGAGTTGGTGATTGCCGGCCCTTATATGCCCTTATCTTGCAAGGAGACTTGCACTTTGTCCTTTCACCCCAAGATGCCTTGTGTGTGTGTGTGTGTTGAGGTACTTGTGTGCAATTCACAGCTGTTGCTTTTTCTTTCTATAGCTTCAGCAAGAGGCGATACCTGGTGGGGCACGAATTGCTGTTGGTTCTTCGAGGTTGGCTGGACACTTCAAGTTGAGCATAGCTGGCATGCCATACAGCCGTTGCTTTTTTGAAGGGTCTTGCAGACAGCTACGAGTGGCACATGACACATCAACTTGGCTGTTCCTGAGCGAACTTGTTATGACAACGCTGTCAACCACCCACACACGCACACACACACACACCTCACTTCTTGAGTTCTGGACTTTAAACTTGTTGACAAGACAGTTCTAGTCATTTGAGTAGTAAATAAACAGTTTGGCCATTTTCCGGCCAATCCAGGTGAAGTGAGACACACTCACGCAGACATGCGCGCACAATGAATGCCTGAAAGCACATGCGTTTTCTGTGTGGATTCACCTTGTTTGCAACTGATCCTTCAGGTGCAACTGGTGAAAGTGACGTGCGGCGCCTTGAGTGGAGGTCGGATGTGCAGCATGTCTCCTTGCGATTTATGGCAACTGAACTCGGGTGACCGTTGCATTGGAATTCTGGCCACCACTTGTCTTTCCCTTTCCATGAATGTGTTGCAATTGCAACAGGCCTTTGATCCACTTACCATCACTGAGCCAGCCTTAAAGTGTTCTGTCAACGGGTTCCCATCGCCAGCAAAGGACAATGCATACCTCCCTTTGGCACCCAGTGATCGGGTCCAGAGGGTTCAAGGTATGTTAAGAAGGGCTACCGTGATGAACGAGATCCAGAAATCGCACCACTTTGAGATCAGAAACCATTGCATCTTGGCATCCGGGGGAACGAATCATTCCAGGCTTAGGCGGTGCGCGATGTTGTGGATCCGCAGTACGTCTTGGTTTCAAGCTGGTACATAAGCTTGTTGCGTTGATGAGTGCTGCCTCATGTTTCATTTGGGTCTGAAGGATTCCTTGGGAATTGCGTTGGGTGAATGGCGGAAAGCAATCCGCAGAATTGCTGTGCATTCTGACTTCCCTTTAGGACAGGTTTGTGCTTCACCCACTGCTGCAGCCCGCTTGACCAATCTGTTGAACAGCCGTCACTTGCTGACTATGCCTTTGACTAGTTGCTTCCTTGCTTTTGGCCTGGATCCAACCAGGGCACAACCTATCCCTTGCCTCATTTGCATCAAACTGACTTGAGCTTGGGACAGGGCCCATGTCAATCCTGGAGCGGCTTCACCATGTTTGTCTCCGAGTTGGTGTTATGTGGATTCATCTGGGCAAAAGTATGACGTCACAGGCAGGGTTTGCGATGAAGGTCGGTGAATCATAACAATTTGCCCAGATTCATACGCTCATTCGGAGAACTGGAAATACTTGCTGGCCCATGACGCACTACTCCAAAATTTAGCTACCACTACAGTAGCGCGTTCGGAGGGTAATGTTTGCAGTGCCAAGGTCTTCATTGACTCTGTCGGTCTTCGGCAACTTAAAGTCTGTGGACCGAGCCCCAGGTCATCCATTCGCTTCGGCACCTGACACGACTGCAGACAAATCTGGCTCTTGTAGGACATGAACCAGTCATCCGCGACATGCCACCAGTAAGGGACAAAAGAAGAGTGGTGAGACAGCAAGGTACAGTGCCTGCATTTTGGAACCAGTGCTTGCCAAAATTTTGGAACCATACAGGGGCCCTTGAGCGTGGACCAGAACTGGCCCTACTAATGCTTAATAAGCCTTTCTATGGATTTCTAAGGCTTTCTCGGCAAGGGGACATGCACGGCCTCACTACTTTACATAAGCAAGTACCACTTGAGCCATTGGCATGAGTCTTGCTGAATCGTTTCATGCACAGGCAAGACAAGTGGGCTTCAGACATTTGCGAGTCAATCATTTGGTGCAGCTAATTGGATTGAGCCAGGGCTATCCCTTGAGAATCCGTGTTTGGTGATACTAGGCGTTGTGTCAGCAGCGTGTGACCAAGGGCCCCAATTTGCAAATGTCCGATTGAAGAGTGGGATCTACGCGGCATGGTCTTTCTCCATTGGCTAGGGACATGATTGAGGGATAGATCTCCATAGCCCCCACGAAGAACGACCGGATATTATCGATGTTGTTTATGGGGGGGAACCTCAACACAGATAGTCTATTTGCGCGCCCAGGTCACCATCATCTTTTCCATCGTGGTCTTCAATGAAAAGACCAGGCCAATTCAGTGGACAGGTCTTCTGCTCGCAGCTTGGTGGACAGCGCCCGTGCAATAACATTCAATAACGCATTGGTTCGTGTTTTAGTAGATGAGCCGGTGGGTTGACCCAGGAGAGAGGGCGCACCCATGCACCCACGCACTTACGGGCACTCACACTCACACGCTTCTACCCGCGCTCAGTCACACACACACACACACACACACGCACACAGACAGGCATATACACTTCGCCCATACCACATGCCTGCAAACAGCGCACATCCACACAAATAAGCAAATACAACACAAAAGACACCCAGACACACGCACACAATCACGCACGCGCACATCGCACAAGGACCATACACACAAAGACACATCGCACACAATCACACAACACACACACACACACGCAAACACACCCGTATACACATACACCCTGTGCTTCCTCGACTATTCTTTAAATAGCCTCGACCATTTAAAAAACGAAAGGCTATAAAAGTAATGTCCCTCGACTATTAAAAGTAGGTCTAGACAAACTTGGCCAACTCGAGACGGCCGGCTCCTGACATCCCCACGCGCTTCTGTGCAGTGAGAGGTTGAAGAACTATATTGCTGCCTTTTATGAAATAAGCTAAGTATGTTTTACAGTCGCTTCATCCCGTTGTAATCACACGCCGTCACCATGCTGTGTCAATTTGGCTTGTTCCTCACATGGCCGTGCGTGTTTTTCCACTTCTTGTCCACAGCTCCACAGAGTCTGATCGCGTGTTGTTTGTTGATTGTTTAATCGATTTCGAAAGAAAATGAGGCGTGGACAAACCATGGACAAACCGTGGAAAGTACGTTTTTTAGCGTGGAAAGTACATTTAAAAGCGTGGAAAGTACGTTTAAAAGCGTGGACAACCATACCCGCAGGCGCCCACAACGCATGTTTGATCGGCAGCGATGCCCCGAAGCCACTAAGTTTGCAGCATTTTTCAGTAAAGCCGGACTTCAGTACCAACATGCGAAGAATCTATGCACGCCTCTACAGTAGGCGGGACACCTGGCGATTTTGAAAAATGATGCGACCATACATTTGGCAAGCCGGGGAATGAGTGGCTTGGGTGCAGTCATTTGCAGCTGGGAGGATGAGGGCGGCGTGACTTTCAGTGACCTGACCCTAAGCAATTCTTGGGCTACAAAAAAACATGATTTTTTGGATATTCAGGGCCAGGCGCAAAAAACCGTCTTTCGGCAAAAAACAGTCTAGCGACCTCGACCATTCTTTTAATGACCTTTGGAAGCCTAGGGTACATATGAGTGTATATATATATATATACATGTCACACATCGCACACACACACACAAACTAAATCACACATTGCACACTCCGCGCATTGGACGTATTTCACACATATTTCACATCTTACGCAATGCTACACGAACATGCACAGAAACAACTGACACCTTACAGGTCTCACATATAGCAAATCACACTCGCACACACACACACACACACACACACTCATACATCACCGACACGGACACACACACATACATACATACATACATACATACATACATACATGCATACATGCATACATGCATACATGCATACAGGCATACAGGCATATATGCATACATACATACATACACGCATACATGCATACATGCATACATGCATACATGCATACATGCATACATGCATACATGCATACATGCATACATACATACATACATACATACATACATACACACACACACACACACGCCTGCCTGCCTGCCTGCCTGCCTGCATGCATACATACATACATACATACATACATACATACATACATACATACACATAGATAGATAGATATAGATATAGATATAGATATAGATAGATAGATACATACATACCCGACATCGCATGCACGCACAGACACACACGCACACATACAGACACTGCACACATATACAGCACGTGTCTTACACATCTTACACATATCATGCATCTCGCACAGCTTGCTCGCGCGGCTCACAGACAAACAGGGAGCACGTAAAAAAAAGGCACACACACACACACACGCCCACCCATGACACACACACACCCAGCACACATTACACGCGTCACACGCACACACACACAACATAGAGATGTCGCACATCACAGTTGCACATCACACAAACACACATCACACAAACACCACACACACACAGTCCACCTCTCGCACAGTTCGACCATAATATCGCGCGTTTTTCTCACACACACACACGTCACACACACACACACATGACGTATATAAGACATACATAGCAAATTGCACCCACGCGCATCTCGCACATCTTGCACATCTCGCGCATCTTACAGACAAGCAATGTCAAACACCACCGACAGACACACACAAACACACAGATCTCAAATGACACATTACACGCCGTTCACATCTCGGACATCCTGCACACCGAGCACATATCAATTAGGCACAGATCAAGTACACCCACACATTCACATAATTTCACAGTCCCATCACACACACACACACATCACACGCATCACACATCACACACGACGCGTCTTACACAGCTCGCTTATTTATCACATATCTCGCATCTTACATACAAATGCAAACAGACAAGGCACGCATGTCACACACACGCCCACCCATGACACACATACGCACACAACATGACATACACAGACACGCAGTGGAGGCAATAAACTACGGGATCTGTGAACGAGCTCGTTCTTCGTTTTTCCCCCGAAGAAACTGGGCTGTTCAAAGGTAATCCTTAACCCTTTCCTAGGGTTACGCACGGGGTTCCCTTTGTAGTGGCTTTCCTATAGGGATTGGATTGGCCAAGCCTCCATTTTGAACAGCCCAACCAGCAAAGCTGTGGCTAAGACAACGCCTCACCCATTGCGCAACTGTATCTTATGCCATGATGCGAAATGCAAGGTTCGAACTGGTGTCAGGGCCCTGTCGTTTTTTGTTTGCCTAGAGAAAAGCATTGATAGACATTCTGCTTTACCCGACTGGTGCCCAAGGCACTGATCGGCATGGTGGTCTACGCCGCTCCTTTGCAATGGGTGTTTTCGTGCAGTCGGGGCTGTTCTGTTGCCCTCCAATTGCTTAAGATTGTTTTTTGTTGTTTTTCCCCTTGTTGGTTTTAAAAGGAATTCATCACTACTGGACATATTCTTATTTGTTCCTGCGGCCTCAACCAAATGGAAGTTTCACGAATTGGCTCTCACATCCATGTTCCGTTGGCGCAGTGGGCCCTTGCACAACTTTGGAGCACATTGGGGGTCCACAGACCGAACATGCCATCGAGGATACATCTATTGCTGCTTTGCCTTGAGGGTACACAGCAGGTGGAGCAATTTGCTGTTTGCGACATGCCAGGATAAAACGTTGTCCGAGATGCTTGTATGTGTTTCCTGAAAAGTGGCGAAGCGGTCTTCAGCCACCAAAACGGCATTGGGGCCATCTGGCTCCGGAGTGTGCTGCTAGGTTTTGCAGTCTGCAGTGTTGTTACCCTTCCTCTTCTGCAGCGTAGCAAACTGTGGATGGACAAATCCTGCACTTTGAGACCACAGAAGCCCGGGTTTCTGCACGGTGCGAGACTCGCGGGATTTCGCAACGGAGTTCGAACTCGGCCAGTGCCTCGGATGCGAGGCCCGCCTGAAGAACCGAACCTTGGCCGTGGATTCCCTGGCTGCGGTGAAGTATGAGGTCCTGCCCCAGGCTGGACGTGCGCATAGAAACGCCCTGCGCCCCTGTTTGGGGCGCGGCCTTTCCGAGCCACGAGCCCTGCGGTAGGATCAAGGATCCCACCCTACCCTGAGCTGAACGGCTCGCAATGGTCTGCTGAAAGGGGATTCCTTGCCTCACGACCAGCAGCAGGTAAGAAGGCCATTGCCCGACCGAAATCACGACAGATTCGAAGGCCATTGCCCAGCCAACACCAACAAAACAATGTCCTTTCACCGTGGGTCGATCACATTTTCACATCTCCAGCTCCCGAATAGCGGGCTTGCAGCCCATATTGAGGAAGCCCCACTTATTGCAAGGAGACACATATAGTCATGTAATACACTTTATTCCCTTGTAACACACATGTAGAGTAATATATATATATATAATATAATACTTGACTTGTAAAGGTACAGCCAGTCCCACCAGACCGCAACGAACTCAACATGTGAATTATTCACCATTCTGTGGCGGAGGCTGCACTCAAATATGTGTTGCTGCATTTTGTGCCTTGCCAGTGCCTGGTCTGGAAGCAGGAGACAGAGCGTCCATTCCCCCAGAATGTTCAAGGTAAGACTGCAGGGATCAGCAACCCACTACTTGCTGATTGGTTGTTTTGACAACTTCGATAGCGAGCTTTTGTTGCAAGCTCACACCCAGTAGCTTTCAAGCCACACGAAATACACTGGAGCCCCTGCATCCCAATAAGCGCTACACAAGCCAGCATCAACTTGGTTGGGAAGTTGTTGGAGCACCCAGAATCAGCGCCGTATCATTTTGACCTTGTGCAATTGAGAGGGCACTGGACACAGGATGGAATTCAGTTGGTTTGGATCCAGTCATGTTTTGCAGCTGCAAGATGCTCGTTGACCGCGGAGTGGTTGGGCGAAAGTTCATGAACCAGCCCCACGTCGATACCATCTAAGTATTCAGCTTTTTGCGGGTTTCGTCGTTGGCATCGCGGGTCCTATGTGGGCTTAGGCGCGTTGTTCAGATTGTTTCCTTCCATTTGGCCAAGTTGTTTTATGATGTTCCCCTGTTGGTGTGAAAGGGAATCTATCACTACTGCACATATTTTTATTTTATTTTTTGCCAGGGGACTTTTGGCAAACGGAGGCTTCCCAAGCTGTGCAGCTAAGCTCTGAACCGAAGCAGCTGAAAGGATGCGGAGGACGACTCCGCCGCCGCTGAAGCCAAAGGCGGCTTGCTCGCACACCGCCCGCTTTGACGTTGACTGATGTGTTTCTTTTTCGCGTGGCGGCATGTCATGATATAGTTCAAAGAACTCATCAAGGCGCACCTTATACCCAGTTGCCCAGCGGCGCCCTTGTTTTCCCTCATCTTTTTTTGGGGAAGGCCTTCAACTCAACCAACCAAAAAGGGATGCCCTTTCTTCCCCATGGAAATCCACCGGGCATCTGAGTATATATTCCTTTTATGTGCCACCATCCCTGTTATCGTTAACTCAATACTACACGAATAGGAGCAAGCAGCTTCATTGACGCTAGATCCTGTGAGGTTTCGTGCAGCTTTTCTGCACCGCTTAAAGCAGCCAGCCAGATGCATCTTCAACAATTGAGTAAAGCACGCGCTCTTCCAGCTTCCAGCTTGTGTTTTTTCCAGCTTTCTGGTTTCTTTGACATGTGAATTATTTCACTCAGCTTGAGCAGTCGCCAAAACCCCCAAGGTTGAACGTGGGACTTTATAGATTTGCTACTTCAATCGATACGTTGGGATGTCTTCTTCGGGGGTTTTGGTCACTGCTCAGGAGAGGAGTCGCCAGAGGCACGTTTCCGACACGCGGAAACTGAACCGGGCTTTCCAACGGACACCCATCGAAACTCAAACGCACACCTGTTAGTCACTGCCAAAGCATCGCACACTTGCATTTGCGTTTGAATACGTTTGTTTTGCCAAGACCTTCTTGAACTAGTGAAACGGCCAAGAGAGAAGCGCGAGATAGAGAGAGAGAGAGAGCGAAAGCAATGAAACACATAAATGTCGCAGAGCCATTTTACTTGAACATTTCTTGTTTGCGCTTCCGCACAATGCAGTGACACCATCAACAAGCCATACTTTGAACAAATGTTGGCCAGAGGATTAATCTCGGATTTGCACAGGAGAAAGACCAAGGTCACATTTGGCAGCTGTTTGCCGCTGGCAAGCATTGTAGGGTGGTATAGAATGACACTATGCAACATATTATTGTTTTTGTTGGTTTTATTGGGTTCTTATTCTGTTCCATGATGTTGGGCCTGTAGGTTGTATTTTACATATATATATACATATATATATATACATATTATTATACAGTGAATTTGTTGAGGTCATAAAGCTGCTTGCTAATTGCAGAGAAGCTGTGTAGCCTGCGTAGACGTGTTGGATGGATGCCCCCTTCGATGGCGGTTTAAACATTTGACAAGTTTGATAGGACTTCTTTGGAGCCCTATTTGCTCTACAGCGGCTCTTTCCTAGCATACTTGTTTGTTTAGATTTGCAAATTAATTACAGCCTTTTTGCCGGATTCTAATGCCTGCCTCTGGTGTATTGTAGTTTGTTGTGGGACCCGTTCCAAATTGCTGATTCGCCTGAAGTGCCACTCCAAGGTACTTTGAAGGCGACACCTGCAACTTGAGCTAATTCACTGGCCGACAATTCATCCTCACTCATCCGAATATTAATCCCAAGTCAGAACACGCATGTGGCTTCTGTGGCTTTTGCTGTCAGGCGTATTTTTCCAGCTTGCTAAACGACCCAAACACGGCAGCACGGCCGTCGGTGTGGTGATTGCAAGGCAGTGTGGTTTGCCCTATCCAACTGAAAATACAGCAACTCCCCTTCAAATTAAGATGGGCCCAGTTTCCTTTTGGGGTCTCAAAGAACAAAAGCCAGATAATATCACTTTTGGGCCACTTGCCACCAGAAAACTCCAAGCACCACAAAGGGAAATCTCCTGGAATCTCCGGTCAAAGGGAGGTTGCCCGCTGGGCCGATTTGGCCGGCGAGGCGAAAGTGGCAGCGACGACGCTGGGCGCGAAGAGCGCGCCAGACGTACCCTGGCCGCAAGTGCCAGCAGTTTTCAGCCGCAGACACTTTTGGGTGAATTTGACAACGGGCACTTAGTCAAATGTATCCAGACACATCCAGATGGCTGTTTGGCGCATAAAGGATGAATCTGTTTTTCTTTTGTTGTCCCTTTTTCTTTTCTTCTTGTTGTTGTTGTTGTTGCTGTTTTGTTGGGGGGGGGGGGCGGGGCGGACTACGGCCAGTTGCGTGCTTTGACTCACGACTGCATAGCCATTGGTGTCGACATTCACAGACAGCGACGTTGAGAGCCTTCCACGGAGGGGAATCTTTCATTTCTCCAGGTTCGGGTTCCCACAGCTAGGTGACCTTTCTCACCCCTTTTCTGGTTGGGAGGATTTCCCCTACTAAAATTGACCACAGACAAAAGTTGGTACCCTTGTTGACTCGAAGCCATGCTTGACAGCTTTTGCCTGGACCATTCTGATGCCGCCCATCTCGGGATGCATCCAATGAGTTTTCATGGGGAATCACCCTCAAAAACTGGGGTGGTGGTGGACCCTATTTGAATGATGCCTGCTAAAGGGTGCAACTTCAATCCAAGTTCATAAGGTAGCCCATTCGGCAAACACAGACATGTTGCAAAGAAATGCAACTCCACTAGCGAAGTAGGACATTGAACAACACACACATCCCAAAAGGAAGCCAAAAGGGCATGGGGATGTTCGTTGTTTCTTTCCGACTCCCCTTACGTCACAGCCCTCACGTTACCCTTAGTTGGTGGTTTGGATTGGTGGTTTGGGGATTCGACCCCTGGATGTTTGTAGCGGGTAGATGGGACACGTGGGAAGCTGAAGCCCGCGGCCGAAATTCGGCGCCAGGCGATCTCTCATGATGCCCAGGTCCAGGTGCGGTCGGCTTCCGAGAACCGCCTCCCGGGGGGGTTCGGGTCTGGCATTTCGGCCAGCATTTAACCCGTTGGACAAGGACACTGTTGGACAAAACAGGGAGTTGGACCCCAAGATGCTGGCTGTCTTCTTGGTAACCCTTTAGATCAACCTGGAAAGGGTACCCTTCTACACAGACGCAGTGGTGTTGTTTTGTTTCAGCTGTCAAAAGTCAAAGGAGCAGAGACCGTTGCTTGTTTTCTAGGGAACATGAGGGAGCCATCAACGCCCGAAAGGGATCACACACACACACACACTTCAGGTTTGCAGGCAAAGACGCATGTTTTGGGAGGCAGAACTTCCCCCTACTAAAGAGCCTGCGAAAAGTCTCCGTAAGCACTCCGGCGTAGGTTCGCGTAGTTACTGTTCCATGGTTTTACACATAGGCATGGCTGCCAGTGTGTAGGGTTACTTCACCCCAAACAACTCTACTCATATGTTGCAGAGTGTCCTGGGATGCCGAAGGATGGGCCTACATAATGTTGTGAGGGTTAATCTTAGTTTTTCATGCCTTGAATAAGATGTAAGACAAACACTCGAAGGGTGCGTTAGAAGGCAGTCCTTGACCGGGACAGCGCCCTTAGATTCTCATGTCGGATCCATCAAAGATGGGATTGAGATGACAATTGAAGATGATGAGAGGCAGCAGTGATGCCATGCTTGGAGGGGGTTGTGCTGGAATGACCCATGTATGTTGGGCAACCATTGCTGGGGTGGACTTTATGGACCCTGGAGACGTTTTGTTTTTCTCTGGGGTCCGACACGAGCTCAAATTTCGGCCATGATTTTCTTGAGGAATGCCCTCCCAAATGCTTGCCCAAATGGTCCCTCCACCAAAGGGTCCACCAATTCAACGCTTCAACTCCACCCCTTTCGCTGCGCCAGGTGCAGCGAACTCCCTCTCACTCGGAGGAGGCCTTCACGAGATTTTCGCTGTGAACCGAAAGGGTTGCCCTGAACAAATCTGGGCGAGGTCCGCCAGCTGGGTGCCCGACCTCTCACCCCCCTTTTTTGGGTTGGGAGGGTTCCCCTGCAATAGACAAAACCCAAAAAAGAACCGGTACCAACTTCTTCGAAAAACAGAAACGGTACCAACTTGTAACCTCTCAAATCTGGAGGACCTAGTGGGGCTTATGCAGATCCCAGAAAATTTCCCCGTACAGTTGGCTTGGCTCTCTCAAGGCGTCAAGACCAACTTCTCTCGCGGCCCTCAGGGTTGGGATGCGTCATATCTTGCCGCTTCACCCTGAGGCTTGGGTATCTCTTGAGCTAAATCTGGAAGTGTAGAATGCAGACAGGTAAATCCAGAATTTACATCTGGAGGTAAATCTGATCTGAGGTAAAAGATGTAAATCTGGAAGGACAATCATAGATTAACTGTCCTTCCAGTGTACAATCATACAGTAAATATTTCCCCGAGACTACTGTCCTTTTGACCACATGCAAAGGTTCCACTTGCAAAGGTTTGTGCAGCCTTTAGTGTTTGGTAGAAGTTCAATGCTTGAAAGCAAACAAGCACACTCACCTTGGCTGCCAGTGGAAGCAAAGTGTGGTTGTGGCTTGAGCATCATGTTGTGTAGAGGTGCCCGCTGCTTGTGAGCAGTAATACTGTTCCATTGGCTGAGCCAATTGCCTAGACCCCAACAGAATGAGCTTGCCTGCGAAGGGCACGTTGGAGGTGCTGTTCGCATGCATGATTCGAATCGTGCCAGGCATGTACTTGGCATGTCTCGCTACAGAGGCTGCGCACAGAAGAACCGACAGGATAATGCCGTCGGTTTTGGGGACTGGGCCGTGCATCTCGCTGGCCTGGCCAGTTGCAGCGACGAGCTGAGGCAAACGAAGCTTGACATGGAACTTGTCACAACAGCTGTGCTAGCGGGATATCTCTAAGCTTTGGCTTCTTTTAGGAGCAATCATGATTTTTTTGGGGCAAAATGCCAGACTCGCAAGAACTAATCTTTACCTCAAAACCCCTCGCCCCTGACCCCGCACGAGCATATTCCTGCTGAAAGTTTGGATCGATAGAATTTTCTGGATGTTTACTAGGTCCCCCAGCTAGGTGCCCTTCTCTCCCCTTTTTTGGGGGAAAGTTGGTACCCTTATTCTAACCTCTCAAATCTGGAGGACCTAGTTCATTTGAGGTTGCTATTCTTAACATCTTGGCAACTGGGTCGTACATGTCATTTGGCTGGCTAGCTTTCATTCAGCCTCTCAAGTCCAGGAACTTTCCCAAATGGAGTACACCCCAAGGAATCCTTATCAATTCGGTCAAAAGGTCGAGGGTGCTACTGTGGATGGACAAAATCCTGCACGTAAGACACCCGGGAACGATGATTTCCTTGTAAATATCAACACACAGTGGTTTCCCATGGTTTCAAAGTGGTGTGAAATGGATTTCGCCCATCCAGAGTATGGGAGGCGGGCGGCCATGCCAGGCTGAAACTGCATGAGCGCCAGGAAAAAACAACTAAGTCCGGGGCGGCACGGAGGGGGAGCATTGGCTGGGGCCGGGAGAGGTACTAGACTTTCCTTTGTTGGTTGGGGTTCGCTTTGATGCTTTGAAACATCCAGCAAGTTGTTGTGCCTTTTTGTTCCCTGGCCACTGGGCAAAGAAGGGTCGCTGAAAAGCGGAAGTGAGCCAACTGTGTGAGGTCGAAAGGGAGGAGGCGACTGTCGACCTGACAGGTATCCACATACTGAAACAATTTCAACTGAGTTGCAGGTTGGGTCACAGCCCAACCGCATAGAAAGAGAAAGCAAGGCCGCGCATCAGCGTGCTTGTTGTGCGGGATGCTTGAGATTGCCGATTGAGTGACGCATGTTTGCAACATGATCTAGGATATAATGCTCATACTGTATCTAGGTCCCCCAGTAGTGCCCTCTTACACTTTTTCGGGGGAGGGTTCCCCTACTAACATAGACTACAGAAGAAAGGGGACCCTTATTCTAACCTCTCCACTGGAGGACCTAGGTATACTTGACTTGCCGAAATCGACCTTGCGTTCTTGGCTTAGTCTCCCTGCCGGCCAGAGCACTCTGGCCTTCCAATATTGCCATGCCAACTGGACATAAAGTACTGTAAATGCACAACTCCCAACACATCCAAATCAGTAGCTGGCTTACCAGCGACGCGAGCATGCAACTCTGTTGCCCAGTGTCACAGTGGCGCCCTGTTTTCCTTTTCTTGGGAAGGGGTTCCCCTGGAAACTCAACCAAAAAATACCAAAAAAAGATGCCCTTTATTTTCACATGGAAATGCACTGGGCGTCTGAGGCAAGTCTTGGAAGTGCTTTCCCTGCAACGTGTAGAAATCATCGCCGCGCTTGCGCTTTTCGCGCCGCGAGTCGGATGTGCAGCATGGCCAATGGACGAAGGCCAAGGCGGGCACAGGGAGTCATTCGAGAGCCTTGCTCGCAAACGTTTAGACGTTCAGAACGCTAGGTCCCCCAGTAGTGCCCTTTTTTCTCCTTTTTTGGTTGGGAGGGTTCCCCTACTAACATAGACAAAACCGGAAAAAAAAAAAGTTGGTACCCTTATTCTAACCTCTCTACTGGAGCACCTGCAGAACGGATACACCGGTACTTTCTGGCAAGTGACTGCGGAGCTCCCATGAGGTCCGGTACAACGGGATTTTTCGGGTTACGGGATACCTAGGTCCTCTAGCTTTGAGCGGTTAGAATAAGGGTACCGTTTCTTTTTTTGTTTTCCCGGTTTTGTCTATGTTAGTAGGGCAAAAGGGCACTACTGGGGGACCTAGATACTGTCTAGGAGGCGTGTTACATGATACTGTCTAGCAGGTTGTTTGTCCTTGTTTAGTGTTATGGCACCCATCAAAGGCATTGACGGAGAAGGCTTTAGGCCATGATAGCAACAAACCAAGTGTTTACTGGGAACAGGTGTGCTGGTCTCCAAGGTATTGACACGACTTACGCGGGTAAGCAACATGAAGCAGCGTTGATCGGTGTTCGATTCACACTTCCTTGAACCACCTTTACTCGACTGGCTGAGAAAGGTCAATGGGAAAAGTTGGTTTCTCCTTCGCTTTATGTTTATGATGGGCAAACCTAGGCAAACACTGCAAAAATAAGTTCAATTAAAAGTACACATTGCCCATTTGTCCCCGTTGGGTATCTGCCGGGAAGCCAAAAGAAGCGAACAACCTTTGCCTCGCCATTTGCAGGCCGTCGCTTTGGCCGCGCCATCGCCCGGGCAAGGCGAGCAGGCCGGGCATCGTCCAGCGAAGCGGTTGGCCCGCCTTTGGCTGTGGTTGGCCGGAGGTGAAGTTCAACCAACTAGACGCGTCTTCTGCCTCATGAGTCTGTCTGTCTCAGCCGCAAGCTGTCGGTTCAATTGGAGTGGGCTTTGCTCTCCGGGCTCAAGATATTGTGGGGATTGCACCTGAGGTTGCCTGGACACCGAATGGTGCACCTTTTGGAGAAATCTGAGTTTAGGCCACGGCTCTTGCGTGGGGTCGAAGTTGGGGCCCCTTTTTTCCACACAGAAGGGCTGCTAGAGGCCCGTGAATGTGGGTGAGACAACACCATAGCTTTGCCTGCAAAAAGAAGGTGACGGGCATTTCTGCAGGAAGTTTGCCAACATCCCAACACAAGCAAGGAATTTCTGTAGATGTCCCTGTAGCTGGCTTAGACGGTATCGGTTTTCTGGTCTTCAGACCCTGGGTCGCCTTTCTAGCGAATCGAGTCGCCAGGATGGCGGCAGGCTCAGCAGGTGCTCGCGGAGATGCGGCCGCTCCAAGTCCAGAGGCCGCAAAGAGCACCCTCAAAGTACCCAGAGGACAGGACAAATCCAACATAACCACTAAGTCGAAAGAAAAGGACCAGAAGGTTTTCTTCTACATCCTGTGGATGGTTGCGAAATCCAATTCGCACCACTTCAGAGACCCTGGAGTTTCGGATTCGATTCGATTCCCCAACGTAAATACCAACAAACAATGGTTTCTCATGGTTTCCGGGTGCAGGATTTTGTCCATCCACGGTACCTTCTGTCGTATTCCCAGGGCAAGATCTATGATCAAATCCGGCGAGTCGGCGGATATCAAGAAGTGCCTGGGTTCCCTTGAGGATGTCATGTCTTGGTGGCGAAGCCAGCCATCCGTTTCCTTAGCCTTAGATCCTTTTAGTGTTTGGTGGTAGTTTCCATGGAACCCAGTAAAACTTAAACTTTCAGCGGGGGATCTGAGGGCAGCCCAGAAAAGGGAGTTCACCAAAGAACCTTGGGGCAACAGCCCAGTTGTAAGGGATCTTTTTGAGGGTGCAGCCATAAACTACCCTTAAAAAGGGGATTCAAAGAATAACTCTGGGGCTATAGCCTCCTGGTAGGCGCAAAACCACGGCCGCGCTGGGGTGACTGATTGTTTGAAGGCCTCCCGGCCACCTGCAGAGGGGGAACCGTTCCGGCTTTTTTGGACCAAGGGTTTCGGGGTCTCCTCTAAAAGTCGGTTCTCATATATTCTTGGGTAGGCTAAATATGGAAGAGGCTCCAGTGAAGCATGAAACGGGCCCCTCATGCTTGACAAAAGGTTTCGGGGTCTCCCCTAAAACTTGGTTCTCGTAATATATTTTTGGGTAGGCCAAATATGGAAGAGGCCGTGAATATCGTATTACTGCGTCGCTACTACCTCCAGCGAAGCGGACTTAGAGCTGATTGACCATGAGAGGTAGTCTGGCACTCACTTACGAATGCATTCAAAGGTTCGCCGTTGAATCAGCCACTTTGCCTCATGTGATTCAGGCAACCATACAGCACAGTCTGCCGTTGTTGGACCTTTGTCGGGTTAGCATTAGGGTGGTGGTGATGTTCACATGAAGCTGGGCATGTGTGCAGGCCATTTTCCCATCCTGGTTCCCTTTCGGATCTTGTGTCCACCTCTGGTTTGGAGGAGGGACTGCGCATGTGGTCTCCCTTGTTTTCTTGCAGCCTAGTCAAGGCCAAAGAGCGAGCGTGAGACTTGGAATGGAAAAGGGAAGCCAAGGGTTCAAATCTCCCAACCAATCCCAACAGCCAATCAGTCCTGTAGAACTTAAGGGAGCTGGAGCTTCCTCGGCTTTCCTTAGGGTACATCCGCAAAGCCGCAATCCCGCAGGATATACATATTACCTGGAGATTCATTCTCCGGCCTTTTCCTAGGCGTTTTAGTTTCCTGGTAGATTTACGAAAAGCAAGTCAAAGCCGAGAACTACCAGGAAATTCATGGAGAATGAATCTCCAGGTTTGATAGAATATATATGAGGTAACGCCCACGCAACGCCAGGGACCTACTGCACTGCAACGCGGTGCTCAGCGGCTGTGCGGATTTTCGCCGCTGGCAGATGGCCAGCGCGCTCTTTCAGCTCAACGGGCTGCTTGGGTTGATAAGGCTATGGGTCAAAAATGGCGTACCCAAAATGGCTTGCCCTGGTAAATACAACCAAAGACTTAAACCTGCGGTCCCCTGGTGGTTTTATAATGACACTTTGACCCATACCCATAAGGGAATGATCCAACTGACCATGGGAGTCTCCCGAAACCTGGGCGACAATTATCAAACCATACCTGCGTATTTTGTTTAACGACCCCAAAATTAGTGAGAGGCAGTGCTTTTCAAGCTCTGAGAATTATAGGGTTGGAGGGTCCCAGATGTTCCAGTGGTGGGTTCATTTCCTTCTGAACTTGCCCTGAGAATCAAGGCTGCAGCTGGACGTGCGCAGCTTCAACATTGCTGCTTCCGCCACGGCGGGATGGGGCCTTACGGCGGAGGGGCATCGGGATGCTGCACAACTAGGAAGACAAACTGGGCCAGTGGGTGATAACCAGGCTGACGAACCACTTACCTCACGTACCCTTTAAGCAGGGTAATGGTTGAGGGGTGGGACATCTCCAATTCGGGAGTTCCTGGTTTGGACCATTTTCCTTTCAAAGGCACCCCGAATGTCAGGTTCCGTGTGAATTGGTGGGAGGGTATACCCGTTCAAGCTTCAGGGCGGTGATTCAAGGGGCATCCCCACACCCTTGAACATGGAGTTGGGGGAAGGGGGATTTCAGACCAAGTTGGAGATCTCCATTTCTGGTGAGCCATGTTCCCTATGAGATTGATGGAATCGGGGACCCACCAATGAACGTCCCACCCCCTCAAGGTAGGGGGGAATGGACATCCGCATGGACGGGTTCCAGGCGCTGCTCGCCTGGCGTCGCTCCCTGCTGGGCCTCTCGCAGCTGCGGTGGGCTGGCCTGGAGCCTTCGCCGCAGCTCGGTTTGGACCAAAACAAACGATGTGCGGCATGGGGTTTGTTTAGGTCCCCCAGTAGTTCCCTTTTGGGGGAGAGTTCCCCTACTAAAATAGACTACATTAAGAAAGTTGGTACCCGTATTCTATTCTCTCTACTGGAGGACCTAGTTGGTTTCTTGTAGCCGTTGTGTGTTTAGTTATTTAGTTGCATTGTGCCTTTTAGCTTTTGACTTTGTGTGTTTAGTTGGTTTACTAGGTTGGTTGTAGTATTTCAGTTGTCCAGTGTTGTAGTTGATCATAGTGTTTTAGTGTTGAGTGTTTTAGCGTGTTACTTTCTAGTGTGTTTGGGGTTTAGTTATTGAACTGTTATTTTTGCTGCTCTAAGTTTTTGTTCCCTTAGCTCTTTGGTTCTGTTCATGTTTCGTGGGCGGCTGCAACGCAAACATGCTAACGATTGGAATCCTCCTTAAGGAAGCTTCAACAGGATACATGATAGACCCAGAGTCAGAGATCCCACCCTTGACAATCCTTGGTAAAGCATGGTGGTTCGGTGTAACCCCATTCGTGCAAGGTGGTTTGAATCCCATGGCCCCAGTTGCTTGGGGCATTCGACAAGCTGGGCTTGGAGTCCTTTTGGCTAAGCCTGTTTCATGGTGGATTGAATTTTTGAATCCCAGGGAGGTGCTTGGGGCATTCCCCATCTTGCATCATTCCGCGCCTCGCCTCCGCGCCGGCTGAGGATCACCTTGGGCGGGCTCTGCAGCTCTCAGGGCAAGGCTCTCCGCTGGCGCGCGGCTCTCGAGCTGCTGGCAGTCCCAGGCTTCCGCCCCTCCTCCGCGCACCTGGGGCCCATCATGGCGGCGGCGCCCTGGTGTCAGGCCAGGAAGGCATTGGAAGATCCAACCGGTGGCGGAAGTTTGTGGCGCGTTTCGGATGTTTACCGTCTTCCCCTCGAATTGGAGCTGAGTTGGAGAGGAAACTTTGCCTTGCTCGGCATGGCTCCTGCCGTATTCTTGCACTGCCCTTGCCCTGGCTCGCTTTGCTTCTGCGGCTTCTCGAGTTAAGCTCCTTTTTCCCCATTCGTTGTATGCGTTCCAGTCGCGGTGTTCGTGCTTCGAACCCGTACCAAGCACGGAGACGGTCTCACGGAAGGGCTCCTCTCTGGTTCTCACCCCCCTCCCGCCCATGGGACAAAGTGATGCCCTTCAGAACTTCAGGCTCGCAGGTCGCAGGTGTGGGGGGAAGTTGGCCAGACAGCGTCAACGCGGAGAGCTTTTGGTGAAGCGTCCCTGTTGATCAAACTGGCCCTCCGGTGCTGGAAATGGTTTACGAGGAATCCTGAAACAGATGAAACTAGTGCGTCAAGCATGGAGGTTTACTTCCAGAGATGTCCGCTCCAACCTACAACCTCGTTGGTGTGCATGTTCAGTATTGGCGCATTTTGGCCTGCAAGGCGCTGCGGCTGCTTTGCCTGCTGTGGCAAAGCGGGCAAGAGGCAATGTGGGATGCAAGCAAATGGTTGCATTTGGTATGGTTTTTGATCCTACAAGTTGTCCTCTTAAGTAGGGAAGAAGTCAGAGCTTGCAGATCAGTTCTGCCTTACATACCAGACTCTCAGAACTAGTGACATAAGTTTATCTGAAATAGGGCAGTGCTCAAAGTGTGTTATTGTCTTTCGGTTGCCATTCAGAGTCCATCCAAATGACGGGTGCTCACTTGCAACATCGCACACACACACACACGGCCCTTTGGAGAGAACTGTTTAAACTGTTGTTCTGGTCCTTTGCTTTCCTGTTGAGGCGAACATGGCTGGGAAGTAGCTGAGTACCTCATGCCCTTTTGCTAAATGGTTAATATTGCAACATGGCACAGGCGTTTCAGGTACATAGACGGTTTCATTGCGACGACCACCGTAGCTGTAGGACAGACACGCATTTGAATGTTCAGCGCATTTTCCCCGGTACGGTGAGGTTGACTACGTCAGTTCCACACCGAAGCCACACACACAGACGTGCTTACATCAGAGATATCGCATCATCATAGTATGGTTTTCTGCATTATCTATGCACAGCCGCGTGATCCTTATGAGTCAGAAATCCCTGAAATCGCCGCGCACATTCACAAATAGCGAGTCCTTGCGCTTGCGACGGGTTTACCCCCTATTCACATGTGGATTCGAAGACAGTTACACCTTGACCCATCCGTTGTTCTTCAAAGATTCTTGTTTCTTTGTGTCTTTAGATGTTTACACCTACAACTTCCCACAAAGAAACGAAGAAACATTTCTTTTTTTCCCAAATCCCGGGGATTTGGAGGAAGCGTCCACCACTCCGGGCTCCTTCCGTCAGGCCTCCGATTTGGCGCTCAGCGCCTGCCAAACCGCCGGAGCTGCCGCGTCCGCGTCGGCGTCGGCGTCGGCAAACTCCGGCGGCTGGCGGCGGCAGCTGGCGCCGCTGCTCAACGCGCAGCTGGGCGGCGCTTGGATCCGGCAGCTGCAGCAGCTGGCCGCGGCCAGGCGCAAGCGGTTTTCGCACGCGCGGCTTGGTCGATGCTGGGAGGAGGTTGGGCCTGGGACTGGGCTTGGAGGAGTTTGGGGTAATTTGGGTGCCGGAATCCCTTTTGCTGTTGGGGGGACTCGGGGACGCTGTTCGAAGCCGAGTTGGGAGCTGCTTGCTTGGTTGGTCTTAAGGCCTGTGGTGCCCTTTGTTTGGCGTTGTTGGTGTTTGTTGTTTGGCGTTGGAGTTGTTTGCAACATAAATCAATTCATAGATGCATCAAACGCAAGAGTGTTGTGTGGGTGTGTCGTCACATGCATGCGTCCTACATATTCAGTAGATGTATGTCTATTTGCATGCGTGCGTTTTACCTGGCAGTGCTTTCTGCATTGAGTGAGATCAAACAGTCCACAAAGGAGGACGGCTTGGAGGCTTAAGGCAGGGACTTAGTCGCCATCCCCGGCTTGACTTTGTCACTTCGCCCCACCTTTGTCAGACTTGTTTGCCCTTGGCAGCAACAGCAAACCAACTTTCATTTGATGCTTGGTGAGCTGCATGCTTACTGTTTGTCGTGTTTTGTTGGTTCCGTTTGTTGTTTCAACGGTGCATAGTGCGTCACAGGCCAAGGGACCGAATCGATCGCCCGGCTCAAGGCGAGTGCAAGGAGATAGAGGGGCACGAAGGGCACAGAGCGAGAGGGCTGTGTGGCGCGCCTTATTTCAGCCAACGCCAAGAATGTGGCTCAGATGGTGTTTTCCTCAACCCATGCACCTGCTAATCCTACAGCTAGACACGCAGAACCGCAGAACCGCAGAACCGCAGAACCGGGATTCTTCGCACCAATTGGCGTGCCGCATTTGGAGCATCTTGGCCAGCAAGACGCGGTCAAGGGCTCACATGCAGGGTAGAGCAAAGCTGTAGAACAATGAGCCACTTCTGTTGGAAGATTGTTTCCGGATATTGCATTTCTGAACTGACATCCAGTTCCTCCCGCTGATGCATTCCTTGTGGGACTCTAGGATATGTGATGATATGTGTTAAGATACGGTCGGACCCCTCGGGACACTACATCATGCAGGTACTGCTCTTGTCACCTTCCCATTCTGAGCTTCGGGTGCAGTGTTTGGTGCTACAGCTGACCGGGCTTTGCGGAAACATGCCAAGGCCGGTACTAGCACGTGCCAGAGTGGATTGGATTCCCTGGAAGCCAACCCCAAGCATACTGCTTTTGGGTTGGATCTTTAGACGTTCACTTTTTGGATTCCCCGCATCTTTGCTTTTACCCAGCAAACTGTTTAACTTTTTGCTGGGATCCACAGCGCCCAACAATATTCCGCACAAAAAAGTGCGCCTTAAGCCTCACATTCTGAGGCGGATGGAGGAAGGCGGGTGCCCCCAGAGTGTGAAGGAGTAGTCAACGGGGTGTTGGACAACCAATGTAATTTCTAGGTCCCCCAGTAGGGCCCGTTTACCATTTTTTTTGGAGGAGGGTTCCCCTACTACAAGGTATCGTGTTGGTGAGGACCCTCTACACGAACCGTGTTTTCAAACTGAATCGCCAAGTTTCGTGGGGAGGGGGAGGTTAGGGGGGGTTCGGGGGGGGGGGGGATGGTTGCATTCATGTTGACCGCAAAGACAAACAACGACTCCCTTCACCGCACTTGCTCGACTCTTGTCGAAGCTGTTGCCTTCGCGATTTCACCTCTTGCGCGAGCGCTGCATTTGCCAGTGAACGCTATTAAAATTTTCCTTCATGAACAATGGCAGTTTCTTCCACAAACCTGCACCCACTGGTTTGCGGAACCAACACAACCTGTTTCCTCGTGGGCCTCGTTGCCCCCAACGAGAACATATCATAAATGTATGTATCCTCTGTTCTCAGCGTGGCTGTACCTGTGTGGCCTCAGAACATATCCGCACAAACGATCGCCGCACCGGCCCCACTTGGTTTGCCGGCGTGCCGGCTTGGGCGAAGCCTTCGGCTTAGCTCGTGCTTTCGGTCGCTCTGCAGACAGCTGAAGGCATGTGACTTCCGGGTCAAACTCAAGTCCTTCTTCGCTTTCACTCGCTTCGCAAACTGTAGACACTCGATTCTAGAAGATGCGCTCATTCATGAAGGCCTCAAACAACGACAAGGGTCCTGACCAGCACGACGCGTACTAAAATAGACTGCAGAATACAGGGTACCCTTATTCTAACCTTTCTACTGGAGGACCTAGGTAATTTCCATCACAAGAAGTTATGACCACAAAACACCTCCCCATTGGCACCGGGCTTGCGGCAGCCGTGAACGCTTGCTGTTTGCACGTCACCGGTTGCCCTCACGGGCTATCCAAAGCTGGTTTTTGTGACAGTGCCCCAGCTATACATCTGCGTGTTGATTGCTAGATCCAGCGGCCTTCAGCTTCAACTTTTGCATTCTGCTTTGAGGTAAGCCAGGCTCTGTTGCTTCATCACACTGGCTGCTGTGCTAGACTCCATCAGTTTGGTTTGGGCCTTCTAGTTTCACAGGCTTGCGAGACCTCATCGGGCCCTCCGGCCTCAATAGAAACGGACCAAACTCGCGCCCCCTTCAGCGAGTCCGGCTGGATCAAAAGGTCAGTGATAGATGGGATGACCCTTGGGGGAAACCGACAAAAACCACAAACACATGGACAACCATGACCCATGGTCATCTTGGGGCCGGAGATACTGATCAACCCCGATGATTGTGACAAATCAATGTCCCGAAAAATGCGCCTGCCCAGTGCCGAACGCTCGGGTGGAGCAGCTGCTGGAGCATTTGGATCAGTCCGGGAGCTCGGAAATACAAGAAACAACTAACAGGGCTCCTGAAAAGACACATTTTGCCCATTTGAAACATGGCTTCTTCCACCAAAATCAAGGGAAACCACCATTTACAAGGCAATGTTCAGGTGTATAATGTAAGGATCCCTGAACTAAAACGAGCCGTTTGTTTGTCTCTTTAGGCTTAGATGTTCTTGGGTTCAACAAGTTGTTGAGTTCCAATTTTTGTGTTTGCGATTTTGGGCTTTATGGGTGAGGTTTTGGGGTGTAGTGGGTTTGGGGCCTCAGGAGTTGCATGTGCGTGTGTTGTGTGTGTGTGTGTGTGTGGGTGGGTGGGTGGGTGCGTGCGTGCGTGCGTGCGTGGGTGCGTGCGTGCGGGCGGGCGGGCGGGCGCGCGCGCGTGTGCGTGTGCGTGTGCGTGTGTGCGTGTGTGCGTGTGTGCGTGTGTGCGTGTGTGCGTGTGTGCGTGTGTGTGTGTGCGTGTGTGTGCGTGTGTGTGTGCGTGTGTGCGTGTGTGCGAGGTGTTTAGAGGCAGGGCAAGGTTGTCTTTAAGTGTTTGCGAGTTTGACATATAATGATGAGTGGTTTCAGTTGAAAGGTTTACGCACTGCGGTTAAAGCTTTCCAGTTCTGTGGGTTGAAGAAATGTTTGTTTGTCTCGTGCCCGCGTGCGCTTTTTGTGCGATTAAAGAGATTGAAAGAGTCTTGGCCACCACGCGGTTTGCCCAAGCGCGGTTTCCCCCGCATAAGATATCCTTGGACAAGCCACGGCTGTGCTGCTTCATGAAGGTCTGTGTACGTTTCACAGGGTGTATTTAATCTGGTCAAAGTCGGACATTATGGACGAAGAACAGACCTGATGGTTTTCATGTGCCCTTTTTGTGAGGTACCTTGTAGTGTGACAAAACATGAAACTGCGCCAAGAGCCAGTCTTACAAGGGGTCCTTTCCAGTGTGTGCTTGGCATGCTAGTGCAAGTTGCCTCAACATGAGAGAATATGAGCACTCATCATCTTTGAACTGCCAACAAACAAGTTGGTGATAAAATTTAAGCAACCACCTAGTTGGAGCCCACCAGATCGTGCGATGGGCGAGCGACAAGGGCAATGCAGAATTGGCGGCAAACCAATTGCACCATTTCGAAGGCAAGTGCATATGAGTGCATATTGTTTCTGGAATCCTTGGAGGGTGTTAAGGTGCAATGGGTCCCTCGCGTTTCCCAGAAAGCTTCGACAATGCCTGGACCCCATTCCGTGTGTCAGGCTGCAGCGGGGCATCAGCCTTCTGGGAGAAGAGAATGAAATGCTGCGGCAGTCGCTGGGATTGTCCCAGGAGGACCGACCGTTGGACCTGTGACAGACCCACCCACCCCTCGTTGTTCAGACACTCGAGCAACATCAAGTGACAAGCTCCCCCCCTCCCCGGCCCCAACAACAACGACAAACAATTGACCACCCCCCCCCCACCATGTGTTGTTAACAACCAGTCCGGCCCCAACAACAAGTACCCCCCCAGTTGTTCTTATTCTGCGGGCTGCCAGGAGGGGTGGGGGTTCTTGTTGTTCTGCATTGTTTTTTTTCCGATCAACAAACGCCACCATGCCTCGCTTATCGAAGCGATCTCATAGCTGGATAATACTCCGAGCTGGCTGTTTTTGCGGGTATGAATATGTATATATATATATATACTGTTTAATATATATATATAAATACACACTAAAACTGATTTATATGTTTAGAACATAGCGTATATGTTTGTACGTCTGCATAGGTGTATATATATATATATATATACACACACTGCCTGGACAAGGCATGCGCCTGTTGGGCCTTCTCAGACAACACAACCCGTTCCCCCTAGAATGCTTCAAGTTGTTGCCGGGTTATTCGGGTCACACTCCAAAGCCTTCAACATATATTTCATTTACAGGGGGTGAAACTTGACCGTCACACTCACTCTTGCCACGCAAAACGGAGTTGACAAATTGATCCGTGGGTGATTCACACTTCGCCGAAACCAGCAAGAGGCATACACTTGTGTCCTCCTGATGTTTCTACATACTCTGGGTGGACGAAAGCCTGCACCACCTAAGAATCCCTGGTTTCTGATGATTCGCCTATAAATACTATCAATGGTTTCCCATGGTTCTAGACAAATTATAGCGAGCTCACTGGCCTGAGGCGAGCCCCAAACCCCGAATTACGAGGTGGTTTCCGAAATAAGGATTTCTCAAATCTGTGGGATGTTATTCGGCGCACCGGCGCGCCAAGTGTGGCCAGGTGTGCGAGATTCCGACCCCCGTAAAAAGCTTGAAAGCACATATGTTTGAGACAATCCAAGCCCTGAATTTCATTAACACGGGCATCAGGTTCTCAAAAACCAGCCGTTTCTGCTTATTTGGCCCTAAAATGCTTGCTACCGCACTCGTTTGAGAAAATATGGCCCTTCTCTGTCTCTCATTGAGGCGGGCATCAGGTTCTCCCAAACCAGCCGTTTCTGCTTATTTGGCCTGAAGAAACTTGAAAACACACACGTTTGAGAGAGTCCGGCCCTTCTCTGTCTTTCGTTAAGACACATCAAGCTGTCAAAAACCAGCTGTTTCTGCTTAATTTGCCTTCACAACGCTTTAAAAGACACTCGTTTGAGAAAATCCGGCCCTTCTCTTTCTCTCATTCAGACTGGCCTCAAATTCTCAAAAACCAGCCGTTTCTGCTCAATTGGCCTTGAAAAGCTTGAAAACACAGACGTTTGAGAAATTCCGGCCCTTCTTTGTCTCTCATTGAGACTGGTCTTAAATTCTCAAAAACCAGCCGTTTCTGCTTAATTGGCCTTGAACAGCTTGAAAAAACAGACGTTTGAGAAATTCCGGCCCTTCTTTGTCTCTCATTGAGACTGGTCTCAAGTTGTCAAAACCGGCCGTTTCTGCTTAATTGCCCTTAACAAGCTTGAAGCACACACGTTTGAAAAAAAGGTTCAACAATACACCTGGCTCGACCCCCCTCCAATTTTCCACTCTTTTAGGAGGAAAGGAAGATGCCGAAATACGAGGTGCGAGGTGGACCCTTAATTTGCGAGGTAGTATTTTATTACTTTTTTAATAATTCGAGGTACGAGGTAGAAATTATTACAATTTGTCCAGATGGTTTCTTAGGGTGGTGCAGGAGTTCGTCCACCCACCTAGCCTCCCGGTCAATGTTCGAGGCAAGACTCACAGAGGTGTGTCCTTTGAATGACCCCCCCCAAGCAAAAAGGTTTCATTCCCATGGTCAGAGGTGTGCTGTTATGGTTCATTCCCATGGTAACTCATTTCGTGGTGTGATTTCTGGGATTTCGCAACCATCCATAGTATTAAGACCATGTTGTATGCGTCGTTTCAGCCACTGGGTTTCAGCGCGAAACGAAGCCTCCAAGTCTGCCAGGAGGTAGACAACGCGACGCCTGGAGCCCAAGTTCACCAAATCTCCAAGGTGACCTCCATGGCTCGCAGCCTTGCGGCAACAGTTGGTGATGTTAACCCCGGATTAAGCAGAACCCCTGGTTGATGATGAATCGGGGGGTGTCCAATTCCTTTTGGTTGGATTCAGACCACTTGCGGAGGGAACAGCCCCCTAGTCGGACGGATCTACTTAGATCCTGGGTCAACAAGCCACCGGCACCCAGCTGACACTTGGGAGAGGTCGAATCTCGTGTCATCCCATGCTTCATTTTCAGTACATAGCTGTCCTTGTTAGGTTAGTTTGAGTGACATAGATGGGTTCCGCTGGTGTATATGGGTTTTGGTCCATTTATGCCAACTGGCGCGCGCGCGTGTTTTTTTTTTTTTTAAGAATACATATTAGCATTGTTTTGTCCATCAGTAACAGGGCCTCTGCTTGACGCAGTGCAAGCCGTTCCGCAAGGATGACCAGTTTTCCTATAGGGGTCGAAAGTTTGAATTCTCAGTTCCTTCCTGGACTTGAAACTTTTTGGAAGACCATTTTAGCGGTAAATGAGAAGTGCCAGGACTTTTTTGCCAATCCACTCAGCTATCTCAGCGATCGCTCAGGTCGCAGAAGCCCAAGTCTGCTTCAGCACCAGCCCCGGGCGGGTTCATGTCGTTTCAGCGACCTATTTGGTTTTGGCTGTAAATCCCGTTTGGATTGGATTGATTTGGTATGGAATTGCTCGTCAAGAAATGTACCATTTTGAGTTTCATCAGTTTAGCCCTCGCGCATCAATGAGGTGCCGAACCGTAGCAACGGCATGTCGAGTGCAGCCCGTATTGCTGGATCGTACAAGATAGAGAGGGCAACAAAGCTTTGCGACGTGAGCATTCGGGTGCTAAACTGGGAACCCTGCAGCCAAACAGGGAGGACACCTGCCGAATGAGTTGTTTCTGAGCTGAAAACAGGCCATACCATGCCTTCCGGTTTCGTCTCTGCGGGTGGGTTGCTGTGTCGCCTGGCCAAGGTGCGCGGCACAATTTCGGAGGCTCGGGACATGCGAGATCTAGGGGTTGATTCCTTTTCCATTCTTTTCAGCCATCGTTCTTTTCAAAAACTAGCCATTTTTGGTGGTTTTCTAGAAAGAAGCATCCCTGGAAAGAATGGGGAAGTTACCCCTAGAATAAGGACCCCTACAACAGTCACAGGATCCTGCAGAGAAAAAGTTGCTATGGAGGCTACTATTCATAAAGGAGGTCCAACATTAGACAACAGCCCCAATTTATCAGTCTTCATGCTAAACTGAGCCTGCCAGTGTCATACAACCATCAGCATGAATGTCAATGATTGGAGGTCAACCTGTCATCGTGCAACAACTAGCTTCCCTTTTTCGTTTTCATTTGCCCTTCCTTCTCAACATGGCGATGGACACAAATGCATATAGTCAGAAGCAAGATGCATTTTGTGTGTGCTGAATTCCATGAACAGTTCCTTCGAGAGCGCCAGGCGAAAGACGGGCTCTTGGCCTTCGACCACGCGCCGCCCTCGGACGCAGAGAGCATGTGCCAACCCAACCTGGGCTTTTGCGTGCCATACACAGCTATGGTCGCCGTCTCTTCTGCTAGATACAAGGTGGTTTTCCTGGCTGACGTGTCAGGTGTTGGCAACCGCGGGCTTGTCTCAAGATCGCAACTTCTCCTTTTTGGACCTCAAGTGTGGATCATTTCACTGGAGTCCACTCGTGCGTGGCGAGACCTTCGCCAGAGGTGGGATAGTCCCAACAAGAAGGTAAGTCATGTATGGATATAATGGGAACTAATGCTGGAGATTGGTGCCCGCCGGCAAATGGGATAAACTCCTTAACTAAGTTGAAATGGCTTAAGACAGTTACAACCATAACTTGGTCTATGATCATTTGTCCATACAAAGGGTGGCGACCTTGGCACCAGAGAAGGCTGGCCTTGACCAAGCGAAGATTGGGCATATCGCGGCAACTGTCCTGTCAGGCTGGCGCACATGTGATGTTTGTGGTGGGCAACTTGTGGAAGAAGGCGCTGCTGACATGCCGACAGCCGGGCCTCGTTCGTGAAGCAATCATGGCCCGAGTTGTGCCAGCCGTAAGCAAGGTTGGCGGGGGTGTAAAAGTGTTGGAGGGCTGTGGTTGTGGAGCTTTGCTGACATGTATGGCAAACGGGCGTTCCACGTTATGTTGAAATCCTTAGGCATGAAAAGGAGCAACGCTATGAGAAGATGACAGCCACAGATCCGCCCCAGTGAAGCATGTTTGTTCACCGCTTCTTTATCATTTAGGGGGTCATGTTGTTTACTCAACGTTTCATTTTCTCGGTTCTAGAGTGCACTTGGACGGTTGCGCTGGCAAGAAGGCACTTTCCAAACTCGTTGATGGAAAGCCACGCGTGATGCTCCAAACCCCACTGGCCCAAGCTGCCAACAAATGCGACACTACGAGTTCGAAGGGCAGCTTCGCCAAGTGTAGTCTGCTGATTTGGCAGCCCGTGTCCTCGCGTGTGATTTCACGTTGACGTTGGCGTATATGCATATGTAGAGAGAGAGAGAGAGTATGTAGTATATGATATTCTCGAGCGATGAATGTTGACTTGCTTTTGGGGAAGAAATCAGGGAATCCTGCCGTGCAAGGTCCAAAATGATGCTCTCACCGGCCGTTGGGCTGATGCGCGAGAGCTCTTGTAAACGTTGACCTCACAGTACTTGCTTGAAAACACAAAGATGGAGCCAAAAGCCAGCACCCCCGAACGGCTTTTGCCCATGCTAACTCTCCAGAAGAGAGTCGCGGGATCCTGGCGACGCCCATGGGTCGTTTCCCTTTTCTCTTTTAACCAACCCGAAAAAGGGTGACCCAAAAAGGGTACGGGTCTTTTTGTTGTGAGTTCACCCCAAAAACCAGCCCCGGAAGGGTTCCGTATTACCCCAAAAACCCGCCCAACAAGGGTTTTGTGTTGTTTGTGTATGAGACCCGCCCAAAACCCAAAAAAAACACTGGCTTCGCCCCCGAACGCTCAGGCCTCCGTGATGCACGGCTCCATGCCCTCCGGGGATCTGTCGGAGGTTCAGGATTCGGCGGCTCGAATCGGCAATCGTCCAGTTGCCCAGTGGATTCCACTCCGCTTTTCAACCTTTGGACAGGCTGATCCTTTCTCGGTAGATGTGTCCAGAGTTCACAAACAGAAGCGCGCACACAGGGTTCCCCATTCAAACTCAACCAAAAAAGGATGGCGATATTTTTCCCCCATATAAGATGGCTGATCCTTTCTCGGTAGATGCGTCCAGAGTTCACCACCTTTTCTTTGGACGGGTTCCGATTCCTCTAAACTCAACCAAAAAAGGATGGCGATGCTTTTTTCCCCATGGGAATCCACTGCACATCTGAGGATGTGTCCAGAGTTCGCACACACAAGCGGAAGAGCGCGCACGCATCAGCCCACACACACACATTCACAGACATGCACGCACAAGACACACACACACACACACGCACCTGGTACTGGTACCTTCAACTTTGGTTCAATCATAGTTGCAGCCTGATGTCAGTTGAAGTGCTGCCTATATGGGCGAGGTGAAACAATCAGATAATTAGAATAGGAATATTGGGTAGTTTGCAACAGAGTAGCATCACGATCATAAGCCAACATATTAGCGTTTGTTGGCCCTTCCTTTAGTCTGAATGGGCGTGGTAAGCATGTAGCTAGTTGGCCCAGCACAACAAACAACGTGACCGAGCCGGCAGCAGAGCGGGAGACAAATAACAATAGAACGCCGAGTGTGGAAAATTAGCTGCAAGACATATAACCTCACGTGTATGATCAAATGCGCAAGTTTATGTTGGATAGTGTAGTTGACTCATATTCAAGCTGGTCTATATTCTAGCCCAGGCTCTTTTGTTCACTTAAGGGCTTGAAGGGGCCGAGGACCAACATCTTCAAAAGCTTCTCTGCTTAGAAGCAGAGAAGGATGCTGGAGATGGAGGCGTGTGCAACTTTCTCGGCTGAACCATCTACCAGAAGGAAGCTTAATCCCTGCTTCGAGCAACATGCCTCTTGTCCGGCGACCCTTGCAAAGTAAATCAAACCATTAGCCAAGGGCGTCCTGCGTAATGTCTGCTTGCCTTGCTATCCGAACGTCAGTCAACCTGGGACAAGGTTTAATGTGTGCGCGCGTGGGTGTGTGTGTGTGTGTGTGTGTGTGTGTGTGTGTGTGTGTGTGTGTGTGTGAAGCGTCCTGGAGCACGGACGGAAATTCCACATTGCAGGGGGACTGGAGCCGATTTGCCTATCCAGTCCAATGAAGCTACGGCATTTCGGTGGATACCGGATCTGATCAATCCGGCGTACCTGCCTATTTCCTGACCCTCTTTCCTGATTCTTTTTGCGGTTTCTGTTTGTCGCTGTTGCTTCCTGTTCGGTGTCGATGTTGTGACCTGTTGATTTGCATTTGCATTCAAGCATTTTTACTGACTGCGTTTTGCATCTCGGCTAGTGAAGCCTCTCGAGATAAGTGTGTTTACCCACGGCCTGTCCGACATGGCGCTGTGGGCTGGACTCGCCATATGCGGGAGCCCCCTGCGAGGGGAAGACCGTTCAAGTGTTCAAGTTCAAGCTGCAGTTCAGTTCAGCGCGTTTGACCACGATCAAGGCTGCAGCTTGAGGTCTTAAGGTATTCCGCACCCAAATGGTGCTCTGCTGGTTTCATGCGCCTGCACTGCCTGCACTGCCTGCCTTTGACGCAAGGCTGCACCCACGAGGTTTCAGGCTCCTAAGCTTCATGCGCCAGTGACGAGTTGGTCATACACCAACTCTGCAATTCGTGGCGTTCATGGAAGCTTTCGTCTCGGATGAGTTCAGTTCAGATTCATCGGCATAGCCACATGAGGCACTTTCATGAGGCCACTTGACAGGCACCTCTGAGAACCCCTTTGTGCTCGCATGCATTTCTGTGGAAACTTTTGCCGTTGCCGCGGGGTTTTGGCGGTCCCCTGGTGGAATTCCCTCTGTTTGGTTTCGATTCGCAGGTTGAAGTTGGCTCGCATGCATTTGCACCATTGACGCATTTTTGCCGCAGTTGTGGTTTTGTTTTCACCCCTTTCCAACCTTCTCTCTCCCTTGCGAGATGGCTGGACACCAGCTCTATGACATGATGCATTCGCTCCTGCATAGCATTGCGACCGGCACCGCGTCCGGCCCACCAGGCAATTGTGGACCGAACTTGCAGCTGTCATCCCAGATGACGCAGCCCATGAACCTTGTACCGTCGCCCAACTCGCAGACGGCATCCTTCACACCTTTCCCCATGATGCCCTACGGCGGCCTCTCGAATTTTGGCAACCCGATGGCCATGCCCTACGGTGGCCCTCCCAATTACGGCAACTTGGCACCTGGCACCATCATGCCTTTCATGACTCAGAGCAGCATGCCATCTTCACTGCCCGAGCCTCAGCCGGCGCGCGCGCCCGAAGCTGCCGCTGCGGCTCCTGCCGCTACCTCCTCAACCAACCACCCTCCCCCGGACACTCGGCACCATCCCCACTCTCGCAGATCCCGTTCCCGCCACAGGCAGCACCGACACTCCCACTCCCACACCAGCCACCATCGCAGGCACAACAAGTCGCACCGACGACACGACACCCGACGATCCCGCAGCTACAGCAGGTCACGTTCCCTTTCCCGACACTCCCACCACTCCCGACGTGCACACCACTCCACTGTCTCCCTCCGCTCCCGCTCCCCCCGACACAGGTCCCACCATCGACACTCCCCTGCACCCAGTGCCACGACTTCGCACCGACCCACTCACACTACTCATGATTCCACCTCCTGGCGCACTTCCGGGAAGGACTCCTGGCGCACTTCCGGGAAGGATCCCAACAAGTCTCAATGGTCCTCCTCACACTGGCGGAACCAATCGTGGGGATACCCACCACAGAACAAAAACCGCTGGGACATGCACCACCACGGCGCCAGCCACACCGGCCACCGAAACAACCAGGACAAACGATCGTCCTGGTCACTGCAGCACCATGGGCAGCAACCCCACCCCACTTCCCGCACCGGCCACCACAACACTAGCTTGCCCCCTCACCCAGCACCTGCGGCGGCCTTCCCTTCCCCTCCCCCTCCCCCTCCCCGACCCACGCCGGCTACTCCTCACCCTCCCCAACCCCCCTCCGACAACACCGGTGATTTGGATCCCCCTCCATCGGAGGCGGACATCAACGCCACCACCACTTCCGACAACCGGTGGCTTGATCTATGGAGAAACGTCATGGACACGGCCAAGACTGACCCGCTGCGAGTTCCCACGCCTAGGGAGTTGGGGGAGCTGGACCCGCTTCCAGCCTTGGACATCTCCAGGATGGAAGGCCATTTTGATGGACCTGGACCCTGCCTTGCCACCTTCACATGCCGATCTCCTCGCGGAATGCTGGGAACTGCGAACCATGGACACGGATGATCCCATACCGTTCGATCCCAGCTTCTACCACCTCTTGGGACGGGAATCACACGGCATGGTGTTCGCAACCACTTGGTTTCCCCGACCTCATCCTTGGCCAGTTGCTGGCGGAGACCCGGAAGCTGGATCCGGCACGGCCTCCCATCACGCTGTCATGTATGTGCACGGCACCACCCCGGATCGAGTGCGCCGCATGTGCCATGAGAACATGATCCGACCCGCTGCTTGGAGGCCCGAGAACCATGACTACCCGAGCTTTGGATGCTACGCTCAGGCCACCCCCACGGCATGCACGCCCGACACGCTCGGCCAGCTCTTGCAGAACTTTACAATCGGAAAGTCTCAACTCGGCGCCATCGCTTTTGGGGAACTACGCTCCATCAATCAGCACAAAATCCTCGAATCCGGGGGAAGCCACGAGGATCAACACAACGTGCGGCGCCACTTCGCATGCCGCCGAGGCAAAAAGTGGTGCCTTCACTCCAAGTTTGCGATGCTGAGAGGCATCGCGCTGCAGCGCCCGGCTTAGCGGGGCGCAAGTGTACCATCTTCCACCCAACCAGGAAAAGAATTGGTGCACTGTTTGATCGCCTTTTTTCTTTGCTTTGCTGTTCTGCCTTTCTGCGACCGTTCTCTCGCCTTGTGACCTTACCCGCTTGATTCCGCTCACCAGCTTTTGGTTCGAACATTTCCTTTTCCCCCGTGTTTTCGCATGGCTTTCCAACCCCCTCGAGGTTTGGTTCCGATGCTCCAAAGGCAAAACTTACCACCGCAGCCTTCGCCCACGGCATCCCATCATCATGGCATCATGTACGGCAACAACATGGCCGGAAACCCGTGCGGGGCCCTGTCCGGACCTTCCTACGGATGCTCTTCCACGACAGGGACACCGCCAACTACACATCCGACTCCCTGTCAGACCTACGGCCAACCTAGTCCCCATTACCCACCACACCCCGGCCCTCGTCCTCCCTCCTTTGGCGGCTCTCTCCCCCCCCCTCCCGGCGGCAACCCCTTTCCCCCCCCTCCCCCCGGCAACTTCACCCGCCCTCCACCTTCCCCCTCCCCCTCCACCGCCTCGCAAACCAAACCTCCCCCGGCCCTTCGACCCGTCCACTCAGTCCCAACACCAACCGAGTTCAACCCTGGCGACGATCACTACGACACCACCCGCGTCGCGGGGTACGACCTGCCCAAGGTCATAACGCACACCGCGTTTACTCGGCAAATGGGCATCGAGGGACAAGACATCGCTCGCGTCCCCCTCCTCCACCTCATGCACGAACAGTGGAACAGTTGGTGGTTGCGTCACCTCGCCCACGGAGGCGAAGTCCGCATCGTTGTCGCAAAGTCGATGCCGGAATCAGTGTTTGCTGCTGGACTACTCAGCCAAATCCGACAACGGCACCTCGACCTGGACGCCCTCGCCCTCCATGTAGCCACGCAGGAGGGCGCCTCGACCACCAAACCAGCAGCCATGAAGCTACTCACCAACAAGATCTTCGACTTCCTCATCTCCCTCCGACCCACCACTACGGCCGATCCGGCCTCCGCGGCCACCATACTCCAGCTTCAGCAACAGCTTGCTGACGCACACAACCAACTCGCCCAGCAGGCTTCATCCCCCCCCCTCCCCCCCACACCCACCTCATCCAACAAACGCCCAGCCGATCCATCTCAGGCCTCCCTCCTGGACTTCGGCATGAAGCGACCACGGTTGACTACACCTGACGCATCACCGCAGGACGGATCCCCCGCCCTACCCCTGCCCACTCGCATTGCAGACGACTCCCAACCCCCCCCGGCTCCCCCCACCCACGGCGGCAACCCTCCTGCCCCCTCCACCCACGGCGGCACCCCGACCCCTCCCCCCCCCCCTCCCCACCCACTTGGAAGGAGCCCCGCGACTTGCTCCAACCACCTCCCCACGCTTGCCAATGGCTCACCAACAACTTCCCACCCGACCTTTCCGACACCAAAGTCCAGCGATGGATCACCTCCCAGAAAACCAGCAAAGAGGGCAAGCAAGTCCTAAAAAGCTGGTCCAACGACTGCGCAAAATGGGCAACCACACTGGACTCCGACACCAGAGCCCAACTCGAACGAGCCGCTGTGCTATGGGGCATCCCGGTGCGAACCCTATCAAAACTGGGGTCATCGGCCTTGGGCCGCATCCTGGCCGCTGCGAGTCACTTCTACCAGTGACTCTCAACAGCACACCGACAACGACGCACAGCCAGGCAGCACAAATTTTGGCAACACCACTGCTGCCAATTTCTCACTGTCCTCCGTTTCACTCTTCGGTTCTTCCCAACCGATGACGTCACCGCACGTCATTTTTGCTCCTGGCTACTCGCACAGCTTCAGCTACTTGACGTCTGCCATCTCTCCTGTGGTTCCGGCAGACTGAAAGCCCTGCTTACTCGACTTGGCCTGGACAACCCTGCTTCCGATTTCTCTTCTCAGCTTGTCCCTTCAGCGGTTTATCTGAGATTCACCAGCCATCCAAAGTGGCAGACCTTTTTCTACCTCGGAGCCACTCGCACCTCCCTCATGGCACGGGACCACAGCCGACTTCGGAAACTACTCCAAGTTCAGCGACATCATCTGGTCAATGCCGAACTAGCAGTCCGGTGGTGGGCACATTTTGACATTTTCCACCACTACACCTCGGTGCCCATTCACACTGCCGTTCCAGCAACGGACCTATTTGCCACTGAACAGTTCTACATCCAGGAACTGCAACCGTCTCTCAATTTTGGCTTCATCGAGAGACATTTCCGGCCACGCACGGGCTTCACACGCCAATTGGACTTCTCCCAATCCCGGCACATGGGCTTCGCCACCATCTGGCGAAAACGCCGCCGACTACGACTACCCATCGCCCTACAACAGGCCTTCCTGGCCAAGCGCTGGCCTGGATTTGTGGCGATTTTTGGGCGATCTTGGCAGCAACACTCTACGACGATTTGATGCCATCCGTTACATACGGAGCAGAGACTTCCCACCCGCCGCTCTCTATGTCCTTCATCGCATAGCCACACACCTGCCTGAACCACACCACCAGGCATGCCTTTCCGCCATTCGATCCAGTTTACGATTCCGGGGCCTCATTCCACCTGGCCCCTCCAGACCGATGCTTGCACCCTTCCTCGCCCATCCTTCTTTCCGATCCCTGCTTTTAACCCAACTTCGCGGGTTTATTCGATCTACCACTCGCAGCGCTTTACCGTTTCACATGGCACAACCACGCATTGTCTTCAAGGCACATCGGAGACTCTCCAGTGCCTTGTTCTCACATCTCCAGGCAGCAAAAACCTGGAGTCTCGGTGAAACGACCTGCACATGCACCGACCTCGCCCAACGACACCCATCCCTCCCGAAGCATGACGGACACCTTCTTTTCTCCGGTGCAGACACCCATGAGCTGTTCGACTCCGACACTGCCCACATGCTATCCGGATCGATGCGCAACTCCTTCTTTCCTCCACGAGGGGTCTTGATGAGTCGCCTGACCCAGGCATTTCAACACTGGGCCAGGACCAACAACCTACCCGCGCTCGACCCATCAACCCTCACTACTATTGTCGAATTCCATTTCGACCTCCACCTTTCACACACATCACAGTACTTTCTTCACGCCCACGTCCAACGGGCTCTGCATACCCTGGAACCCCTTGTCCGCCATTGCGAAGACCATGCGGACTCCCGACTCATGATCTATTGTCCCGTTCTCTACGGCAAGATGTTGGAAGCCACTTTTGCGGACCCTGCCATCTTCGCCCCTCTGCCGGTCCCTGCCATTGAAATCCACCAACGACTACGAGAAACCATTGTCACCAGATTCCGCGGCCGCTATCCTTGGGCCGTGACCGGATTCGGAAGGCCAGCCAACGCCTACATCCTCCCGAAGAGGAAGAAGAACTGGACCACTGCCCGACCCATCATCAGTTTCATTGGCGCCTTCTTCCGACCCATGCTCGACGCTCTCGCCAAGCTCCTCCACAGCATGGTGGCCACGGCTTGCCCTGACGCGTTTTCAGGTGGCGACCTCTTTGAACTCATGCGGTCCTTGCACGAGTTTCTAAGCCTCGGCCACACCCATTTGGACTACCGAAACCAGGACCTTTCCGGTTTTTTCACCTCCATCGACAAAGACCGCTTCTTAGCAGCCTGGCGACTACTGCTAACCTGGTACCGACAACGACAACCACACTCCTCTACCACACACCTCACAGTGGACACACTTGACACCTCTGCCATCACCCGCGTCTACAACGGACGCCGTCGCCGACACAAACCCACACAACGCACCCTGTGGCTCGACGACATCCCCGAGATTATTCAGGCCACCCTTGACATGCAGATCTTCTCTGTCGGCCTTCGTTCATTCAGGCAAACACGTGGGGCACCGATGGGATCCCCCGCGTCCCCAGCTCTCTGTTTGATGGTGATCGCGGTCGCCGAACAATGTTGGACCAACACTCACACCACATTGGGACTTCGCTCCGTTGAAGATACTCTCCTGCTCCGCTACGTGGACAACAGACTCGTGATCGCAACCCCCAGGTGGCTCTCGACTCCGGCAGCCAACATACTGTGCGACGAACACTTCTGTGGAGGAGACATCTTCCTGGAAACAGAAGCCGCCCTGGACTTCTTGGGGTTCCGACTGAACCTCACAAGCGGCACCATCTCCTTCATTCCCTCGCATGAGAAGCACAACATGCTCTCCGTCAAGTCAGCCGCACCAATGATACATAAGGAATCTGGATATTATTCCAGACGCACGCTGATCAGCCGAGTTTCCTTTCCTGAATTTCAGCGAGATCAGGATCTTGCAATGTTGAAGAGGTTGTACCTCCAACACGGTTTCACCTTACAAAGAGAAGAAAAACCGTCCTTTGCGAAACCACACTGGTTTTCTTCTCTGCCTTTGCATCCTGACAGATTTGACCTGATTTTCGTGCCGCAGCTGTTTGACTGTTTGACCAAAATCCGTTGTGAGCATGGATACCAACACAGCACGCCAGCTGCTCCAAGACTTCGAACTCATCCTTGGCATTGCCCAACAAGGCATCGCCACCATCCGCGAGTTCACTGAGAGTCCGACTGCCGAACCTGATTTGGCACCGGAGGCTACGCTCAACCCCGCCATTGAGGACCTGACCAACTCACCACCAACACCCCTCCTGGCCCCCCTCGAGGACCTCTTTGAGCCACCTCCTGATGCTCCAGATGAACACCTTCCCACTGATCACGACGAACAATTCCCTGATCATTGGACCCCGCCCACTCCTCCTCCGTCTTCTCCCGACAAAAAACGAGCTCGCCGCACACGTGATTTGGCCTCCTCACGATCTACGGCATCCAAACCTGCTCGTGGACCACGCGAAGCTACCACATCGACCAGGACTGATGCCTCTACTGAGGCCGAACCTGAAGCCTCGCAGCCTTGGACTGAGGGAGAGATTGAACTCCTCCGTTCCCTTAAGACCAATTCCAAAGCCAAGTATGCGTGGTCAGTCATCGCCACAAGACTTTCTCGCACAATTGATGCTTGCAAGACTCAATGGGCCTTGCACAAGTGATGTCGCCCCAGTTGGGGCTCCGTGTGTGTGAAGCGTCCTGGAGCACGGACGGAAATTCCACATTGCAGGGGGACTGGAGCCGATTTGCCTATCCAGTCCAATGAAGCTACGGCATTTCGGTGGATACCGGATCTGATCAATCCGGCGTACCTGCCTATTTCCTGACCCTCTTTCCTGATTCTTTTTGCGGTTTCTGTTTGTCGCTGTTGCTTCCTGTTCGGTGTCGATGTTGTGACCTGTTGATTTGCATTTGCATTCAAGCATTTTTACTGACTGCGTTTTGCATCTCGGCTAGTGAAGCCTCTCGAGATAAGTGTGTGTGTGTGTGTGTGTGTGCGTGTGCGCGCGCGTAGCTGTGCATGTGCGGGTGAGTGTGTGGGTTTGTGGGTGTTTGCTTGCTTGTTGCAGCGCCAACCGTTTCGCGTGTGCTCATGCGCACGTGTTTGCTCCAAGGATGTGGACGCTGCGACTGCACTCCGCCGCTTGGCAATAGTGCCGGCCATTTGACAGCTCTGCGTCCGCGGCTCATGGAATACACTGCTTCAAAGGTGGCCCCCCTTCACAGTGCATCTTCAATTGATTTGCTGCTGCCACAAAATAATGATCCCTGGCAGGGGATGTTTTTATTCCAACTGCGAAGCTGCCCAGCCACTGCTGAACCTAATTTACACCAAACAATTTTCTGCCACCTCGGACTGCAGTCGTATTGGGGTCTCTCCAAAATAGTTTGCGTTCTACAGACCAACTTTGTTTTGCATTTAATTGTTGACCTGACATACCATCAAGTCTTGCCTTGAGCGATGCCAATGAAATTCCGTACTTGGCACATTACGACGCTGGTAGATTTGGTGCTTGTCAATAGAGGGAGCAGCAACCATTTACCCCCCCGAAGATTATGTATACGTCCGTCTTTGCCAGGAGAATGTTTACTTTAGCTGGCACTCCTCTTTTTTTAAGGGGTGCTGATACCAGTTGTTAACGGGAAACCGAAGATCAAAGGGACACCACCTGACACATTGGACGCCGGGGGCTGAAAATACCCTTTTCGGCCGAGTTTTTCGCCTGAGGAATGAGTGCTCAGTACGTTCAATCCAGCTGTTGCAGGAGCGGGGTCTTGGGCTTCGGGTAGCAAGGGACTGAGGCTCAATTCCTGGAAAACCTGGACTTTAGTCACTTTTCGGGCTTGGGCCATTTTTGGCGGTAAATAGCAAGTTTGGTTGCTTTGTGGCCAATCCACTCAGAAGGGTAATTTCCCCCCTCCCTTCCAGGACCCTTCTTTCCACATCTGTCAGAAACCCGCGGGGGTGGGGTGGAGCGGCGGGAAAGGTTGTTTTGGCAAGAACGATGGAACAGAATGGGGGCATGTCCCGTTCGGGCGATCCATAAATAGATTCACCTAGGTGATGGGCCTGGAGGAAGCACAGTGTCTGAAAATCACCCACTTCGGGACATCTACTTCGCCCAGGAAGTTTTGGCTTGGCGTGACCCATCCTCATGCGGGGCGATGGTTGAAGAATGGCCATTTAAGCGTAAGGTGCTCGGCTAGAGTTTCTATGCGCAGGCTTTGGTTGGAGCCTTTTGCTGAGACGACACTTCAGCTGTGCTGAAGCCGGACAACCTGCAAGCTTTCTTAACTTGTGCTGGCGTCTGTTTGCGTGTGTGTGTGTGTGTGTGTGTGAGTGTGTGTGTGTGTGTGTGTGTGCGCGCTGGTGTGTGTGTGTGTGTGTGTGTGTGTGTGTGTGTGTGTGTGTGTGTGTGTGTGTGTGTGTGTGTGCCGCGCGCGCGCGCTGGCATGTGTGTGTGTGTGTGTGTGGGTGCGTGTGCGTGTGCGTGTGCGTGTGCGTGTGCGCGCGCGCGTGCGTGCGTGCGTGCGTGCGTGGGTGGGTGGGTGGGTGGGTGGGTGTGTGTGTGTGTGTGTGTGCGTGTGAGTGTGTGTGTGTGTGTGCGCGCTGGTGTGTGTGTGTGTTTGCGTGTGAGTGTGTGTGTGTGTGTGCGCGCTGGTGTGTGTGTGTGTTTGCGCGCGCTGGCATGTGTGTGTGTGTGTGGGTGCGTGTGCGTGTGCGTGTGCGTGTGCGCGCGCGCGCGCGTGCGTGCGTGCGTGCGTGGGTGGGTGGGTGGGTGGGTGGGTGGGTGTGTGTGTGTGTGCGCGTGTGCGTGTGCGTGATTTATGGGGGGACGCCCCTGGATGTACCTGCCTTTTTGTGTTGTGTGGCAGCTGTTGCTTCGCATTGACAAGTCTTGCTAGAGGCGCATAAGCCTGCTGGCCTGTCGAGTTTTCCGGCGCCCAATGGCGCAATCGAAGAAGCTGAGCTCTCACGTTTTCACGTTTTAACATTGTAAATCTTTGAGCGGTTTGATGACGCCACTGTGTTTGCTAAATGGCCCTCCTTTTCCTATCGGGACGACCTCTGGAATTGGTGGCCAATTGGCCTTTAATTTGTAAACGATTGCACAGTTTGACGACGCCCCTGTGTTTCCTACATGGCCCCTCGGTTTTTAAATCGGGAAGACCGAGCCTCAGGAGCACGTGGTCACCAGTGACGCAGTAATTTTGTAAATCGTTGAACAGTTCGACGACGCCACTGTGGTTGCTAAATGGCCCAACCTGCAGGTCCCGCCAAAGCGGCTGTCTGAAGACAGCTCTACGGCGTGACTTGCCTTTAAATTGACTATGCCCCTAACCCTAACTTGCCCCGCAACCCCCGCAGATCATCCGAGCTTTGTGCCGGATTGGGTAACAAGCGTGTGTGTGTGTTCGCTGGTGTGTGTGTGTGTGTGTGTGTGTGTTTGTGTGCGCTGTGGTGTGTGTGTGTGCGCTGGTGTGTTAGTGTGTGCGCGCTGGTGTGTGTGCATGTGTGTGTGTGCGTGTGCGCTTGTGTGTGTGTGTGTGTGCGTGCGTGCGTGCGTGCGCGCGCTGGTGTGTGAGTGTGTGCGCGCGCTGGTGTGTGCGTGTGTGTGTGTGTGTGTCTTGTGTGCGCTGGTGTGTGTGTGTGTGTGTGTGCGTGTGTGTGTGTGTGTGTGGTGTGTGTGTGTGTGTGCGTGTGTGCGCGTGTGCCCGCGCTAGTGTGTGTGTGTGTGTGCGCGCGCGCTGGTGTGTGTGTGTGCGCTGGTGTGTTAGTGTGTGTGTGTGTGCGCGCGCCGATGTGTGCATGTGTGGGCGTGTGTGTGTGTGTGTGCGTATGTGCGTGTGCGTGCGTGTGTGCGTGTGTGCGTGTGTGCGTGTGTGCGTGTGCGTGTGCGCGTAGCGCGTGCGCGTGCGCGTCGGCGCGTGCCGCGCTGTGCGCAGCTGCGAGCGGGGCGAGCGTGCGTGCGTCGTGCGTGGCGTGCGTGTGTGTGTGTGGAGTGTGCTGTGTGTGTGTGTGTGTGTGTGTGTGTGTTGGTGTGTGTGGTGTCTGTGTGTGTGTGTGCGTGTGTGCGCGTGTGCGGTTTGGCTGTGGCACGTGTGGTGCGTGTGCAGGTATGGCGGTGTGTGCGTGTGTGTGCGTGTGTGTGCGTGCGTGCGTGCGTGCGTGCGTGCGTGCGTGCGTGCGTGCGTCCGTGCGTGCGTGCGTGCGTGCGTGCGCGCGTGTGTGTGTGTGTGTGGGTGGGTGTGTGTGTGCGTGCGTGCGTGGGTGGGTGGGTGTGTGTGTGTGTGCGTGTGTTTGTGTGCTTGCGCTGGTGTGTGTGTGTGTGTGTGTGCGCGCTGGTGTGTGCATGTGTGTGTGTGCGTGCGCTGGTGTGTGCATGTGTGTGTGTGCGTGCGCTGTTGTGTGTGTGTGCGCGCGCTGGTGTGCTTGTGTGTTTGTCTGTTTGTGTGTTTGTTTTTGTTTGCGTGTGCGTGTCTCTTTGTGTGTGTGCTTGCAAGTGTTTTCTGAGGATTCCCCTGGAAATTCCGACGCAGAATGGCTTTCCATGGCTTCTTAGGTGCGAAGCGGATTTTGGTCCACCCACAGTATGTTGGCGCCCGATTGCTTGGAACCGCATGGCGTGTTTTCCATTCCTCGAGGATGCCGCGCATACCAGTGAGCCTGTGCCCAAGAGGGAAGAGGGACGTAGATCAATATCTCACTTCCTGAGTTCATGCACTTTAAACTTTTTGGGAAGACCATTTGAGTGGTAAATAAACAGTTTGATTTTTTTGGGCCACCCGCGAGATATGTAGATGCGTGAAAATAGGGGGACCTCAAAGATGATGGCTTCAATAGCCCCCCCCAAAAAGATGGTTGTCCTTTCAGCTTCCCCGGAAACCAACGCTGAAAAGGGCTTTTTACTTGTATATCTAATGTACATCAAACATATCGCAGAGTTTGATGGAGTAATTATGCAGTCTCATGCGAAGCATTCATGAAATGTGACAGATCGTGTTTCCACACGGATAAAATCGGGCACGTTGCGTATGGGCGACTCTATTTATGAAACTCTTCGAAAGAGACAACATGCACAGCGATATACAGCGATCTTAAAACGTGCCAGCCAAGAAAGGGTCATCAGTCGAAGTGGCATTGACCACATTCGCATTTCGTTGCGACGTATCCGTGCACGTTTGGATTCTGGTTCATCACCACAAGAAGACCTGAGGCCCCAACAGCATCCCCAAGCTCTGCTGGGACATGCTGGGCCTGTTGCTGATTTGCACGGCACTGAGTCACGGTGGTGTTACAGGTGTGCGCGGGCGGACGAGATGAATCTGCAGATAATTTGCTGGGGATCGCCAAGTTTCCCGCATTTTCATATCAGAAGGCCGGTGTGTTTCCACTAAGTCACATTGTCACTTGTTTGGGGCGCTGAGTTGCGCACACCGAACTTGCTATGCATTGCACCTGATGTGATCCACCAGATTAGTTCGACCAACACCGTTTGGGCCAGAAGAAGAACATGAATCATGAATCATGAAATCATGAAGTCATGAAGTCATGAGTCATGATTCATACATAAGTTATGCATGTATGGAATTCCTAAACTAGAATAATAACTACAGTAAATTCTGAAGAAGTGAGAAATGTATCAATTCCACAGGCCATTGGGCCTAAAGGTTCAGAAGCCGATCCCACTAGTGTCGCGATGAGAGTAGCCGAGTTCGGGCAGGACAAGGTTTTAGCGCCAAACTTCATTTTGTTGGTGGGGTGGCCAGTCATTGCTAGGAGTCATGCAAGGAGTCATTGCTAGGAGCCATTGCTAGGAGTCATTGCTAGGAGTCATTGCTAGGAGTCATTGCTAGGAGTCATTGCTAGGAGTCATTGCTAGGAGTCATTGCAAGGAGTCATTGCAAGGAGTCATTGCTAGGAGTCATTGCTAGGAGTCATTGCTAGGAGTCATTGCAAGGAGTCATTGCTAGGAGTCATTGATAGGAGTCATTGCAAGGAGCCATTGCAAGGAGTCATTGCTAGTGCAAGGAGTCATTGCTAGGAGTCATTGCTAGGAGTCATTGCTAGGAGTCATTGCTAGGAGTCATTGCTAGGAGTCATTGCTAGGAGTCATTGCTAGGAGTCATTGCAAGGAGTCATTGCTAGGAGTGATTGCTAGGAGTCATTGCTAGGAGTCATTGCTAGGAGTCATTGCTAGGAGTCATTGCTAGGAGTCATGCAAGGAGTCATTGCAAGGAGTCATTGCTAGGAGTCATTGCTAGGAGTCATGCAAGGAGTCATTGCTAGCAGTCATTGCTAGGAGTCAGTCATTGCTAGGAGTCATTGCTAGGAGTCCTTGCTGGGAGTCATTGCTAGGAGTGATTGCTAGGAGTCATTGCTGGGAGTTGAGTCATTGCAGGGAGTCATTGCTAGGAGTCATTGCTAGCCAAGGAGTCATTGCTAGGAGTCATTGCTAGGAGTCATTGCTAGGAGTCATTGCTAGGAGCCATTAAGGAGTCATTGCTAGGAGGAGTCATTGCTATTGCAGCAGTCATTGCGTCATTGCAAGGAGTCACTGCTAGGCTAGGAGTCATTGAAAGGGGGTCATGGAGTCATTGCTAGGAGTCATTGCTAGGAGTCAATGCAGGGAGTCATTGCTAGCTTCCTTTTTTTTTCTCTCTGCAGCTGGTCCCGCAGCCTTTTCTTCCAAGCTCGCACCCACTCCTTGCTGGACACGCCCCCCCCCCCCCCCGGCCTCAGCCTTGGGGGGGGGGGGGGCGTGTCCCCGTGTTTTTTCTTTTTTTTTTGTTTTCTCCTTTTCTCCTTTTCTCTCTCGCTCCCTTTCTCCTTTTTCTCCTTTTCTCCTTTTCCCCTTTTTCTCCTTCTCTCTCTCTCCTACCCTTTTTCCCCCTCAGTCCTTGTTCCTGCCAGGCACAGGACAAGGTGTCCCCAGGGGTTTTTGTTGCTTGCTTGCTTGTGTGTTTGTTTCTTTCTTTCTTTCTTTCTTTCTTTCTTTCTTTCTTCCTTCCTTTCTTTCTTTGGTTTTGTTTTGTTAGCTAGTTAGTTTGTTTGTTTGTTTGTTTGTTTGTTTGTTTGTTTGTTTGTTTGTTTGTTTTGTTTTGTTTGTGTGTTTTTTTGTTTTGTTTTGTTTTGTTTGTTGTGTTTTGTTTTGTGTTGTTTAGTTAGTTAGTTAGTTGGTTAGATCGTTAGTTAGTTAGTTAGTTTGTTTGTTTGTTTGTTTTTGATTGTTGTTTGTTAGTTAGTAGCCACCCACCACCAACCACCAACCACCACCCACCACCCACCACCAACCACCAACCACCCACCGCCCACCACCCACCACCAACCACCCACCACCCACCACCAACCCCACCACCAACCACCAACCACCCACCACCAACCACCCACCACCCGCCACCCACCACCTCACCAACCACCCACCACCAACCACCCACCACCCACCACCAACCACCCACCACGCACCACCAACCACCCACCACCTCACCAACCACCCACCACCAACCACCCACCACCCACCACCAACCACCCACCACGCACCACCAACCACCAGCCACCCACCCACCACCCACCACCCACCACCCACCCACCACCACCAACCAACCACCACCCACCACCCACCACCAACCACCCACCACCCACCACCAACCACCAACCACCCACCACCAACCACCAACCACCCACCAACCACCCACCACCAACCACCCACCACCCACCACCAACCACCAACCACCCACCACCAACCACCCACCACGCACCACCAACCACCAGCCACCCACCACCCACCACCCACCCACCACCCACCCACCACCACCGACCACCCACCACCAACCACCAACCACCAACCACCCACCACCGACCACCCACCACCCACCAACCACCAACCACCAACCACCAACCAACCATTAATTTAACTCCAGCCCTCACCCTGCTGCTCTCTCCTCCTGGTGCCAGGACGGCCTTGGTGCTCCTGTCTGTTTGTCTGTATCTCTCTGCTTGTCCCCCACCTGCCCTGCGGCGTAGCCAGAAAGGACCGCCGCTGAGTAACCAACAAAAAAGTTGCCCAGCTGTCTGTAGGAGATCTGGGAGGGGGACATACAGGTTCAACCCCCCCCCAGTGAGGGCTGGAGGGCCCTTGAAAGGGGCCACCCCACCTCCAAAAAAAAGGACTGGAAAAGGTGGTGTGTGATTCCCAACTAGGCCCTGGAGTGCCCCCCCACGCAAAGCAGGAGCAGGGCTTGACCCCCATTGCCCTGCAAAAGGGCAAGGATGGTGGGGGTGGCTTACATGCTTGAGCAGGAGCATAAGAGGTTCTCCAAGTGCTACGCAGGGAGCACTGGAAGATCCAATGCTGTGAGATCTGGGATAGTGCATGGCAAGGGTTTTTAAACCCAAGGGCAGTGGAAAGGGTCTGGACTGGCAGGGCAGGGCTCCCTTCTCTTAAGGAGAAGGACAGCTGCCTTTTACAGGATTGTGCAGATCCTTCTACTTGGGTGTGAGAACTTACACCCAGCTTTTTGGTCCCCTGGCTTGGCTGATTGGATGGCTGCTGGGAGAGGCTGCAGCAGGCCCTGCTTAGCAGGCCTGAGGCATGAGCCACCAGGTGACACATGAGTGAAGCAGAATGAACACAGCAGACATGAATAAAGAGCCAGACATGAATGAAGAGCCAGACATGAATGAAGCAACATGATGTGTTTTTTTGGCCTAAATCCAACGCAGCCCTTGTAGCAAGCCCCTACCTGACCGCTGGGCCACCAATTGGTGGTGACCAACAGATACATGGACAAGTCAGAATCTTACAAGAAATCAGCATGATTAAGCATGGACCAAGGATTCAAAGCTGTTTTCATAGAAATTGGTGGCCAGACTTTCCATTGCCTTTGCCATTTTTGCTTTCCCAGACTCTGGAAAGTGGCCAGCTGTGGTGTGATGTGTTAAGCTGGAAAAAACAATTTCAAACTTAAATTCTGGTTGAACTATAAAGCTGTTGCTTTTTGTGCAAGATGCTGGCCACTTTCTCTGCTCAGGAATGTAAGCATATGGGGGCTATGGGCTATGGTGATTGAAGACAAGAAAGTGTTTTGAGCCCATTGCCCCCCTAGCTTGTGCGTGATGCTTGAGGCAGCTCCCTGGAAAAAGGAATGAATATATAAAAGAATGATAAATATGATGTAATTATAAAGAATGAATAAATGGATAATAAATAAATGAATTGATAAGTTGAAGATAGAGACAGACAGACAGACAGACAGACAGACAGACAGATAGACAGACAGACAGACAGACAGACAGACAGACAGACAGACACACCCACACACCCACACACCCCACACACACCCACACACCCCACCACACACCCCCACACCCCCACACACCCAACCACACACCCACACACACACACACACCAAACCCCCACACACACACAGCCACACACACCCAACTGCCCTCACCCTTTAAGTTGGTGGTGGGTGGTTTCTTAGCACACAGCAGGCCCTTTAATTTCATTTTTTTAGCACCAAACTTCATCTTGTTTAATTTCAACGGAGGGCCATTTTTTTAAAGAATCTTTTTCGTTTTGTTTTTAGGAATTATTTTTGTTTTTCAGGGTCGGTGGCTTTTCGGCTTTTTGGCTTTTGTGGCCTTTACGTGGGTTTTTGTGGCTTTTGTGGCTTTTCATTTCGCATCATCTGCATTCACAGTTCCTCTCTTTTCGCATCCTCTGCATTGCCAGTTCCGCTGCGGCAGGTGGCTTTTTGGCTTTTTGGCTTTTTAGCTTTTTGGCTTTTGGCGGCTTTCTGGCTTTGGCTTTTCGCATCCTGATGCTTTCCCAGTTGGTTTTTGGCCTTGGCTTCCTGCCAAGTTCCTCTCTGGGCCCCCCGCCACTCCCCTTTCGATTAAAATGCACGCCTAATTGAATCATCACTTTTTCGATCATCATGCGACAGCTACTTTTTAGACTCTTTGCCCCTATTTTTTCGATCATCATGGGGGGGGGGTCTTCCGTTTTACAGGGATTAGTTTGCCCGTAATTGAATCCTCACTTGTACCATGAGGCCTTGCCGCAGAGGAACTGATGACCCCCCTGCTGTTTTTTTTTGTTTTTTAATAAGTATTTTTTTGGCCCTAATTGAATCATCACTTGTTCAATCATCATGGGGGGGGGGGCGGCAGCCCCCAACCCCCCCATTTTTCTGGACTTTTTGCCCTTTGATCACACTTTTCGATCATCATGGGGGGGTTGCTTTAATGAATCATCAACTTTTTTCAATCATCATGGAGGGAATTGCCGCCCCCCCCCCCCTCGTTTTAGGTGTTTTACAGGGATTAGTTGCCCCTGTTTGAATCCTCACTTGTACCATGAGGCCTTGCCGCAGAGGAACTGACTCTTTTCATCACTTCTTCAATCATCATGGGGGCGCTGCCGCCCCCCCCAACCCCCCCGCTATTTGTTGGACTTTTTGCCCCTAATTGAATCATCACTTTTTCGATCATCATGCGACCGCTCCTTTTTAGATTCTTTGCCCCTAATTTTTCGATCATCATGGGGGGGGCTGCCGCCCCCCCAACCCCCCCGCTATTTTTTAGACTTTTTGCCCCTGATTGAATCATCACTTTTTCGATCTACAGGGATTAGTTTGCCCGTATTTGAATCCTCACTTGTACCATGAGGCCTTGCCGCAGAGGAACTGTGACCCCCCCGCTGCTTTTTTATATATTTTTTTGGCCCTAACTACGTTTTAGGTGTTTTACAGGGATTAGTTTGCCCGTATTTGAATCCTCACTTGTACCATGAGGCCTTGCCGCAGAGGAACTGACCCCCCCCCCCCCCCCACTTTTTTTTTAAAATATGTATTTGTTTTGGCGCTTTTTGAATCATCACTTCTTCAATCATCATGCGGGGGGCTGCCGCCACGTTTTAGGTGTTTTATGGATTAGTTTGCCCGTATTTGAATCCTCACTTTTACCGTGGGATGCGGGAAGCCAATTTGCTGGTGATGCTGGGGATGTTGGCTGGACATGCGGGGGATGTTGAAAACGATGCTGATGATGTTGACGGACTGGCGTAAAATACGTACATTTCGCGAGAAAATGCTGTAAATTACAGCAGTAGCTCCCAAAATAAATCAAAAAAAAACCAAATTAAATCTCGACCCAATTTCAACTTCTCCAGCACCAAACTTCATCTTGGAGCTTAACCTGGTGCTTGCCATGGCTGGAGCTTAAGCACCTGGTGCTGGCCGTGCTTGTTCAATGGGATCACAAATTTGGGGACTCGAATCAGTCGGATTTGGCAATGACTCTCAGGGTGGTCCAAAGGCCTGCGTGGTCGCAACGTTGCTTGAAACTCCATGCTGAAAGCGCGGGCTGGTTTCTCCGTTCTGCCGATGGTTTTACCATGCTTCAATGCTCACGGAGCGATCCCCGGATTAGAGGCATCTGCATCCCAGTTGACTGTACTAGATCTAGATCCCACAGCGGACCCTTGTACTGAATCATGCCCGGTAACCCCCGTTCCCCGTGCGATATCATTTCCCAGGTGTCCAAGCCCGGAGTTTTGCTGGGGGGCTCAAAACTCTTGTTTGAACTGCAAGTTGAGCTGGTTCAATGGAGAAGGCTTATTTGGCGTAGGTGTGTTGCAAATTCGAGTGTCATGTCGAGCTGCACTAGCAAAGTAGGATTCAACCTGCAAACAGGCATCAGCAAAGCAATGTTGTTCATGTTTGTGAAAGAGGGAGGAGCCTATCTTGGTACCAAGACCTGAATTCGGGAGTTTTTGGACCCATATGGGTGTGTGTCTGGAAATACGGCACCCCTAAAAATGATGGGTTTCGTTTTGGTTTCCCTTTACCCCAAACACGATGCCATCAACAAAGACACACCCCATGCAAGGGGCTGGCGTTTGTGAGGCGAAGGAAGATCCTTGTTTTTTTTTTTGCGAGTTGGCTGCGGGTCAAAAATGGGGTAACCCCAAAATGGCTTGCCCTGTTAGGTGTGGTCCAATTCCTGGTGTGGTTAATAAATGGAACCATGGTCCGATTTTCCTGGTTTCATTTTGACAGAGCCACACCCAGTTGGTCCATTTTTTGCCGCTTGAGGTTGGGACGTCTTCTACATCCCCTTGACCGTTTTAGATCTGCGCCAGGCGCGAAGCTACGGTCTGGAAAAAGGGCGAGAGGCATGTGTGTATATATATACATATGTTATGTATATATATATATATATATACACATATGTATACATGATATGTTTGCATTGAATTATTATATGTGCGTACATGCAAGTCTGAGTGGTCCGAGTGTCAGCATTCTGCCAGGCATTGTTCCTTTTCAAGTCTACTCCCGTCGGATCTCTGGGCTGGCGTATGGAGTCGGACCCCGATCGTTCCACGCTCCTTTGGTTATATTGCTTCGGAGTCAGAACAAGAGCCATGAGTTTGTTTTGATGCGCACGACTTTTATGCTGAAGAAGCTCCCCCTTGCTATGGCTCCTTGTTGCTTAGAGAGACGGTTCAGCAGAGGGTATGCAGTCTTGGGCCTGTAGATCGAACATTTTGAAGCGTGGCCTCCTCGAGATTCGCGATATTCCGCTTAACTTCTTTACGTGGCAGGAGGCTTCGGTTCCCCTCAAGTTTTCTGCTAGCTTGGACAGACCTTGTTACCAAGAAACGAGTGGCTAAGTGGCAAAGGTAAACCTGGCCTGTGTTTAGCTACAGGAGGAAGACATGAGGCATTCAGGTCCACGAGGCATCACCTCACACAAAAAGAAGCAGGGCAGGCGGGCGGACGGGTTTTCTCAAACTTCGGAAATATGGCTAAGAATTATCTGCTTTTCGTCTTTATATAATTGACTCGTTCTGGGTTTCCCTTATGTACCCCAACTCATTTTACTTACTCCCTTTGCTCCGTTGACTCATGGTGTATCCAGTGTTCGGAAATCCGGCGGTGAAGCCTGAAGACGAGCTTCTGGTCCTTTGAAGGAGAGATGCGCTGCCATACTGCGCCTGTTTGATCGCCGGACAAAGTGCTTCTTCCCTTCACGCACGCCGGGCAACCAGTGCAAGTTTGCTTCAGATTTCGGGTTCTTCCTTGCGAATCTGGAGGCGCTTCAGGAATCTAGGCGGAGTTTCTTTGGTCAGGTTTCAGGTTCACTCCCAAGACCTGAAGGTTCCCAACTCGGGTCAGACGGATTGCGGTCCTTTCTGCCGGCTCCTCACCTGTCGCTTTCTCGGGACGAGCCGCAGGTGCTCTTCACGGACATGATGGACTGGATCACGTTGCTCTTCTGGACCTTCGACGTCTTCGTGTCCTTTGTGTGCCCAAGCGGGACTTAAAGCCGCGAAGCGTGCAGCATTTGTTTGATTTCTCCAGTGGCAAAGGACAGATTTTGCAGTTGCGTGCAGGCCTAGCGTGTGGCACCTTCAACAGAGTAGGACATCGCACGTGAGTAGTATATGCAATGCACTGATTCTTTGTGATTGTCTATGGATGCAGTTTCTTTAAGAAAGAGAGCAGGAGAGAGACGGAGAGTTGTGTTTCCCCTTGCATTGACTTGCGCATGTTTGTTAAGAATGATTGTGCTGCCAGGCACACGTGTGTGTGTGTGTGGAACACGGGTATCTTTGGGAGTATCACTTCAATGGATGCAGAAACATGTGTGAGGCATGGTGATTATTGACGCTGAACAAAATTGCAGGGGATTTCATCCTGACAAGTCTAGGCAAGCCAGTATGATTAGTGGGAAATTTGCCGGTTCATTGTTTGCCTCCATATATATATATATATAGCGTGTACAAAATGGCTCCCTGTGAAACTCAGCAGCCAGTCGAATCACTGGAGATGATTTAACCATGCTTAGAGAATGCTTAGACCATTCGGGTCGAAACAAGTGAACCGAGTTATGAGAATGACGAGACCTTTCTGCTGGGTTCCGCTTTGAAACCCATGCAGCATGCGGGTCTTATTCTGTTGGACCTTGTGACCGATTGAGCAAGGCGTTATTTGTTTCCTTGTCCAGTTAGGCCTCAATCTCGCTAAGACCAAGCGTCTTGGGTGCTCAGTTGGAGGCCCTCCAACAAGCTTCAAAGAATAACCGGTTCGCGCCGCAAGCAGCAAGCAGTTGCGAGCGACAACAAGTGGAAAGACGGTGACTCTGGACCCGCAACGGGGTTGAGATCTGTTTCATGGGCTGTTGGCGCGGAGTTTGCTTCTAGAACAAGGGGAATGAGTTCAGGGCGGGAGACGTTCCCCCCGTCCAAAGAAGAACTGGTTGCATGGTGCCATTGCCCTCTCCATTTTCCTTCTCCGTCTCCTGAGGGTGTAGCAAGTCTGCTGGGAACAATATGCTACACCAAGCAACACACCTGACACTCACACTCCCTGTCGCACGAGCGTTACACATTGAAAGAGTCCGGGATCATGCACTTTGAAAGTCCTAACGCAATGCATATTACCCCATTGACAGCTGTTGGCGCCTGTTGCAGCTGAAGCCCCTTTGGGCAATTTATCTATAGCGGTGAAAACAGGGTGATCCCCAAAAGGTCAGAACTTAGGGCCCCCCCCCAAAAGAAACAAAAAGACAACATCCCCCCCAAAAAAAGCAAGGCTTCCGTTTTCTTTTTTGGTTTCTATGTTAGAACCACTCCACAGTTGTCGACGCCTCTGAACACCACCCAGGTCCGGCTTCTTCCGGCAGGGCGAGTTGGTCATGAATCTCCGCGCGATTGCAGCATCTTGGCAGGGGGTTGCACACTGAACAGCCAGTTCCAAAAGGTGCCCAGCTGCTGAAGAACATTTTGTTTTGGGTATTTGTTTGTTTTTTTTTCCCGGGGGGCTTAAGCAAATGGACGCAACGGTTTCAACATAGGGGGGCTTGGCCTTCGGCTGGTGATTATGTGGAGGCTTGGTGTGGAATCGTTTGTTGGTAGCAAAAGCGTGAGAGTTTCGCGAATTGAATTCCTGTTTGAAGGGTTCCGAAAGGACAATGTGTTTGGCGCCCGTTTAGATTCAGTTACTCCCTGGCAATGATTTGTAGGTTGTATTCGACGCTTAATTTAATTAGGATACCCACATACGGACAACGGACAGTTCTACTGGTAGTTAGTCGATGGTGAGGTTTGGGAGGACATGGAGGTTCCTAGTTTTGCCGCTTTCCCTGCAAAAGATGAGGGACTACGAATTAAGACATTCGCAAGTTATGTTGACCGTGGCTCATGAACATAGCAGCAATGCTTTGTCTTACAACCATTTCAGGATGCTCACACCATTGGCAAATAGGAGGCGACATCGCATGCTGACGAAGCTCTGAGGGAAATCTCACGGCTCCGCTGGGGCACTAAATCACAAGTTCTGTAGCTCCCAGCCTGCACGAAGCAGGTGCCCCAATTATTGTGATCAGCACACCAACGCTTGCACTTTCCTGGCATTTGCTGGTGTTTCATGAACTTTGATGTCTGTGTTTGCAGCCGGAAGCAAATGGAGCAGTATATCAAACAGGCAAGCGCCACACTTGGACAGCGCTGGTTTCATTTTCAGCGTTCACACCTCTTGAGCCTGCTCTGGCCTTCAACTGCAACCCTCGGTTCACTGAACAAAATGTGGGAATGAATGAAACGTGCTGTTTAGACGGTAAGCAATCAGACATATTCACACTGTATCCATTTGCCATTTTTAAGGGAGAGCGGACCTGGGGGTACACGCACCAGTAGGTCCTTGGCCTGGAGATCCCTTATTTCAGGTTTGTGTTGCCTTCGCCGGAGTAACTCTGCAAAGCTGGGTGCAGCCAGAAGCTTCTTCGGCCGCAAACAGGATTGAACAGCTTGATCAACTAGAAGGAGCACCACGGAACGGATTTCAACAGGGAAACTACGAACGTAAATCCTTCGTCTTGGATCCCTCAGGTCAACTATCTCTCCACCTGGTTTCTGGTTGACCTCATCGTCGTGGTTCCTGACGCTCGGCCGAAACGGACACCTCTCGGACGCGAAGACCGTCGGTTTGGAGCCCTGCAAAACCGAGTTATCCCCACCCCCTTAAAAATGGAATTGGGGAGGGGGGTGACCCCTGGAATTCTATTTGTGGTTCCATTTTTCCTTCCATGGGGAAGACCAGATAAATGGAATTGGGGACCCCCCCACCTCCTCCTGAAGGTAGGGGGGATGCACTCGTCCTTTGGGCTTGCACCGAACCAGACCAAGCTGAAGATACCGGACGCCAAGAGTTTACCAGATTC